GGTTTTGAACGTTGCACTTGGTTTGGCACAGTTTCAGCTTTGTTTGAAAATCCCAGAATCTTCTTTCTAGGTACATAAAGATGCACAAGAGTCTGATCCCACAAGGTTCTGCTTTCATCCTGAGAAAGTGTTGAGCAGCCTTAATTCCTAACAGCATCTTTTGTAGTTGAGCATCTCCTAGAAGTAGAATTAAAATCTAAAATATAACTAAGATAATGCTGCTGCTTTTATGTGTTTGCTTTCGAAAACTGGAAGTAGAATTTTGTTATAACTGTATGTGGTCTTATGAACACTAAAAAAAAAAAGCTTTGCTGCTGCATGAAAGCATCACACCTTTGTGGTTGGTAAGGATCATGCAAAGCTGATAGATGATTCACGAATGTTACATTTCATTTCAAAAGCAGCATGTTTCTTAGTCACTTACCAAAGAGAATTGTTCTCTTTGTGATTACTGAATGTTGAATGTAGGTTTATGAACATAAAAGGAGATATTTTTTAGTTCCCAAATACCTGATATTTCTCCATCAAGGAGATGGAGAAGGGGACCAAAACACATCAAAGTACGTTAACAAAAACCACCAGCTGAGTCTAAAGCCCATGTTGGCCACCGTGCAAGTTGGTTCAAGTTTTAGAGTTTCATTCTGAGCAGACTTACTCCTCTCCTACACATTTTGCCAGAGGTCTGATACTGAATAGCTCAGATAAAACTACGAAGGGGGCTGCTTTTCTTCTGCTGGTGTATTTGCTTCTGTCGTGGCTTTATGGGTGGCTTTGTTGGTCCCTTGTGCTGGAGGGGCCTTGGTGGGTAGTAGTGTAGTTGTTGCTGTAAGGGGAGGGATTGGTTCATGCTGTGTAGTCATGGGCACATAACTTTGTATAATGAGTTATCTCCCAAAGGTCCCTACCTCTGTTTCAAGGCTAAATTACAAACTTGCTTCCTACTTCTTCCTACTTGGGAGTTCTGAATTATAGCTATATTAAATACTTAAGATGTCATAAAACAAAGTAAATATCCCACTTGGATCAGGCTCAAAGAAAACAAAAAGCAATAAACATTTAGAAAGAGAGAAGGAAATAGGTAAAATAGGAAACAGAAGATGCTGTTTTGAGTGTGTGCAGTGTTCACCTTCACCACTATATGTATTTGAGACAACTCAGGGATGGTTCTGAGAGTTGTTCTTTCTGGGGAGTAGTAACTTACACCATCTGGCACATCTGCCAGGTTGCTGGTGTCCTGAACTACCACAGCAGCCTGGCAAGGTCAGGTTTTGTAAGACTGGAAAATTTTCTTAAGGGACATATAAAGTTGTTTGCGTTTTTTATTTTCTCCCAGCATGGGGGACGTATGTTTCCTTGCTTCTGTACAGTGCAAAGGAAATCACAGTCCTTATTTTCCCCGATGGTCAGCAGAGCAACAGTGTGTGTAATCAAAATATGTTCCCAAATGTGTTCTGCTCTTTGATAGAATACTCATGTTTTGGTAGCATATTTTCAGAATCATGTACTTGATCCTCACTTCCTCTGAGTGCAGAAGTGCCTGTTGAACTGTGGTCCTTGCTGTGGTTAGTGACCATAACCATCTTTTTGTCTTGCAGACTGATTTTTCCAAGTCAGGCTTGGAAGTTTCCTCATTTAGCCTCAGAATTTTGTGAGGCATGTAGGTGAACTCGGCAGCAGAGGATGTTTCTAATGCAGTCACTTCTGATGTCCTCAGAACAACAGGAAGAAATAGACCTGGGGCACATTTTTCCATTCTGCAACCTCAGAAAGTAACCACTGGGGATGAAGTGAGGAGATAAAAGCGTATGTGGCAGCAGTTCCTTAATCATCCAGTCAGCTGTGTAATGAGTGCACAGATAAAACTCCTTGATATACTCCCAAATACTTAAAGCATTTTTTGGTTTTAATGCTCTGGCTTATCCTAAGTATGTTAGCGAAAGCTGTTTTTGGTTTGTTCTGAAGAGTAAGCAGTTAATGTTCAAGGCAGGTGTTGAAACAGTGATGGTTGCCTTTTTTGGAAGAGGCTGTTGAATTCTCTCCAGAAAAAATAACGTGCTTGGCTCACTTAACCTTGCCTTAGGTCCGTGTAGTAAAAATCCCAACACTGGCAGGCACAGCAGTTCAGTCCTTTCTAAAACCTGGTAGTGGAACCAGCATTTCAAATAGACTTGAGCATGTGGTTAGAAAAATAAATGATGATAAGCTTCATGTTTGTTTAAAGATATTTACTGTATGATCATGTAGGGAGGATGCTTGTGCCAGACTTTTTAGTCACTCTGTTTTCTGTCTCTCCATTCCTCCCTACTAGGGCTCAGTGCTCTGGGGGTTCATTGATAAGATCTGTCTCTGAGGAAGACATTTGTCATGCCACAGAATGATGCAGAAGGTTTTCAAGTCTAATTAGGAATAAATGGAAAGCCAAGTGTGTTCTGAGGAAGAGAGCTGTTGTATTAGCAAACATTTAAGTATCTCAAATGAAAAATACAGTGAAAATGCATTATTGCAGACTAATGCTTTGGGGTTTTTTCTCAATATTTAGGAGGGATAATATTTTCTCTTACACTTTCCTCAGATATTTTAAATCCTCAAGCCCTGCAGTTTTTAAGCACTGTTAGGCCAGAGCTCCAAAAAGATGTTCCACGTGCCTCAGATGTAAAAGACAGCATTGCTAAGAGGTGGTGTTCTTCTGTATGTGATCCCTGCATACTTACCTTGTGCTATGTCAGTGTTGTCCTGCGAGACTGTGAACACTATAAACCTTCATGTGCTAGGAGCATTGTAGAGGTGCCCTGTAAAATCAGTCCATGGTGTGGCTGCTTTCAAGTGATGAAAGTATCAAGTGAATGCTACTTGATAACTACATGTTAAAGATAACACTAGGAAAAGAGAACAATAGTTATAAATTTGTAGGCAGTTGATTTATTCTAATGGCAGAGTTTGCTTTCTTATTTGACAAGTTTTGAGAGTATTGGAAAAATATGGTGTATTCTGCATTATGCTGAATAAAGACTTTTCATTTCAAGGAAATGTTTTATGGTAGTCATGTGCAAAACAGCAAATGAGGAAGATCATTCAGAATTGAAACAGATGTTAGTTTAAACTTTGGAAACTCTTCTGGCAGAAGGATTTCTAAGCTGTTTTTTGTCACAGGCCTGGTCAAATTGAACTCTGAATTACATGGGCCTCCTCTTAGAGGAGAGTATGTGATATGTAAATGCTAGTGTAATAGCTGGAAGCACAGGGAGGAGTTTTGAAATTCTTTCCATGTGCCAAAGTGTGTAATTTATGTGCCTACTTTGACAAATATTTGTAGGTGCTAAACAAACTGATGTGTAACATCCTGAACTAGCGCTGGGAGCAACAGCTCCAGGGAAGGCAGCAGTTGGTTGCAACTAGTTCATTTCTCTAACAGGAACCTGACCTCAGCTAATCTTTGTTAAATAGTTGCTATTGATGCATTTTGTTGTTTAAAAGGTTAGAGAGAGATACTAATGACCATTATCCTGCTACAATGTGTAAATAATACTCAGAACAGGTTAGAAATTGTTATGATGTATTTTTCACTCTTCCAGTCATCATCATTAATCACTTTGGATTTTCGGTTGGAGAAAAAAATAGAATGAAAGGGAAAGGGGGAGAGAGCAGCTGAGTGCATTAAGCTTCTTTCTATTCTGCCCTTAGGACAGAAAATAGTACTTTTTTCCTGAAGCCTACTGCAGTCATCTGGAAGTAAGGGCTGTGCTACACTGGGGCAAGCATTGGGCAACACACCACTACAGGGAGTATGTCCAAAGAAATCTTCACTGATGCAGTCAGACCTGAAAGCTTGTTCGTCTTTCTGTGCTTTCTCACTCAAGCACATGTTATTCGTGACTTGATGTTTTAGATCTTAGTGGAATCAAGCGCTGATGGAAAGACCAGCCTGAGTAGGGCATGCAGGCCCCAGTCCTCCAGCACCTTGAAGGAGGAAACAGGGAACTGCATAGATGAGTGGTGGCTCCTGAGGTTGGGCACATGAAGAAGTGCTCTTCTTTCAGTACTTGATATAAGGACCTCTTGAGAGCTGACAAATGTTCTGAAATTGTTGGCCACGTCCCTCTGTAGAAGCAAGAGAGCCAAAAGGTTGTTGTTGGCACAGTCTAGCTTTGCAATCAGTCTGGAACGACTTGTTTATCTGTTGAGTCCAATGCAAGTTGAAGCAGGTCCCAATCTGAGCCTGACCCTGTGCTGTTGCCTTTTCTTGAATGATGCTATTGCCACTCCAGTGAAGTTGTATTTGAAAATCTTAGGCTTTCCTGCAGAACCTGTTACACTCCCACTTTCTGTTTCTCCATTTTGACTATTTCAAACAGCATTATGGTTTTACCAGTCAAGACCTGAGTTAGTGTAACATTTGTAAAGATTTTTCCAAAGATGTATAACTCATCTGTTTTATGTGTTAGACTAAAGCAATTCCTTGCTTCCTGTAAATAAAGCAACAATAAATATCTTCCCTTTCTCTTAGCCTTTCTCTTTCCTTACTCTGTGTTTCTCTTTTGGCCTTTATCTGTCATTGGGCTTGGACTTATGTTCTTTCTGATTTAGGAGTTGCTTGAGTACTTCCAGGTTTTAATGAGCTTCACATCCTTGTCTTGCTTCAGTTCCTCAGACCACCATCTATTTACTCTCTCCTGTCTTAGTTTTCCTGTTGTCTTCCTGCCCTCCCCTTGCTTGCACAGTTCAGCTCCTCTTGCAGCACAGTTGTGCCACTTGTGCAGCAGGATGATCTTGGACTCTAGCACCCCAGCTGGGCTGAGGGGTGCCTCATTTTGTAACAACATCTCTGAAAAAGGAATCATGATGCAGATGTGAAAACATGTAAAGTTTAGGCGTTGTTGGAAATAAGCCGTAATCACCTTCAGTGAATGCATGTGGGTGTGACAGATTACATTGCTTAAACCCGCTACCTTGTCTGTGAGGATAAATGTACCACATTAAAACTATGTTTTTATTCCCATCAGGTGTCCTTAGGTTCCGTTGTTCAGTTTGAGAAGGGAAATTTCTCCTTGTCAGCAGAAACAGAAGAAAAGCTTTTTCCTGAGAAAAATGAACAGTTGCTACAGTGGGCCCAGAAGGAATATGGAGCAGTAACATCTTTCACTGAGCTCAAAATATCAAGAAACATCTATATTAAAGTAGGAGAAGGTAAACCAAAACAAACCCAACGGAACTGATAAACACTTCTGGATGTTGAGAATGTCTTCCTGTAGTTATTTGAATCTTTAAACAACTCATTTTCCAAGGGATGTGATATGAAGGGGGAAGGCAGAGAAATAAGAGCAAGTGTAAAGACCAGACCCTGAAGTTAGGCAACTTCTAGTGGATTCTGGTACCCTAATTTTATGCTCATAAACATGGATGCAGTTGGCCAGAATCTTACAGGAGTCAAAGTTTCACTTTTTAAAAAGGAATGAACTACTCGTGGTGATTGTTTGGATATCTTTTGTATAAAGGACTGAAGTGAAGAACTTGAGGTAGGGGGTAATTTCTAGAACAACCTGAATTAGGGCTTTGGGGTTGGGATTTTTTTAGCCTTTGCTTGTATAAGGCTTGAGACTACTTTGGACAAAGAATTACCGCTTTCCTCACAGACAGAAGCTGGCTCAGTATGGTGTCTTTCTGTGTTTTCGTCCCAAGCAGAAAGATTTCCTGTCCTGTGAGCTGCATGCCAAATTCATCAGGTGGCCTAGGGCAGGTGGGAGAGGACTCCAGCTCCACAAGGATTTCACAGGCATATATTAGGGTAGGGTCTGGGCTGTAGCTCTGTATCTGAGAAGTGTTGGAACAACTTAACAATATGAACCTCTGCAGAACTTTGTCTCAAGCTGGTGCTGATCACATAGCATGCCTCCTGCAGGGGAATTCCACCTGAGCCAGTCATAAACCAGGGATAACGCAGGAGCCATGGCTCTTCAACATTCTTGGAGAAAGGCAGCTGGTTCAGAGGGCTTTATGCCCTACTTACTTACCTCTATTCAAGTTTGGGGTTTTTTTTAGTTAGTAAAAGGAGCTTCACAGGGAAAGCAGACCTTCCTCTATGATGCAGGATGATTGGAGGTGAAATTTGTTTTCTTGCAGGTGTAGGATGTTTTAAGATTTTTTTTTTTTACCGACTAGCCTGCAATTCACTGGGTTTTTTTTGCTTTCTGAAGATGTCATCCAAGTTCAGGCCAAAGCACACATCTAGGTTTAGCTTAAATCAAAAGCAGCAAGAATAAAGGCTGGTAAAAGTGAACTGGAACTGATTTGCATTGCAGTGAATGGTCCAGATATGTTGAAACTAATTGTTGTCTTTCAAGAAGCTCAGTGATGGGAAGAGTAGAACCCAGTCAAACATTGTGTCAATGTCCAACCTGTACTGGTGGGCTCAGCATTTACTAGAACCAGCAGCCTAATTTAGTAGTGTTTCAGCAGTACTTCCAGAGAAACCCCTTCATAGCTGAACTAGCTGGCTACCAGAAAACCCAGCCCAAAACCTTCTGTGAAGAAAACGTTCTTTGCTAACCACCTGTATCTGATAATTTGATTTCCTGAAGCCTGAGGTTTGCCCCCCAAAATCAGAACATGCCTGTGTTGGCTGTATCCGAATCCTGCCAAATTTGTACACTGTTCCCCTGTGTGATTTTTCTTGGCACCATTTTTGGATTTCAGAGCCAGAAAATCATTCAGAAATATATTTATTAGCTTATTAAAGTGCTCTTGGAATGTATAAATGGGAGTAGTGGTCTCTGCATTGCAGAGTTGAATGTTTAATTAGACATGTCAAAAACCAGATAAAATTGTGTTGACTTGCACATCTCCAGTCAAAGCAGGCAACTAAATAGGAGAGCTTTGCATCATCCTTAGAATGTGTTAAAACACAATTTAATTAAGAGTCAGTACACAAAATGGAACTTGGCAGGCAACCAGAATAGACAGTTTCTGAGAAGGCTGCTATGAACTAGCTCAGCTGTAACCATGTTTGATTTTGAGTTAAATTCTTGGCAGAGGAGTGAATAAGTGTGTATGTTTGGGGGTTATGCATCTGTTTGGGGTGGGGAGAGGGTCAGTTCTTGAACTGCACTAGGCGTGTGAGGAGTTCTATGGAAACCATGTGGGATGTGGACCTGGTCTGCTTCTCTGCAGAGCGAGCAATGGAATCACTGGATTCCACAAATCCCAGTGTATACTGTTGGACATCTCAGGCTTTTCCTACAAAACTCACACTCCTCAAGTGCTTTAGTCAGGTAACCCTCAGCTGCCAGTTTGTGAATCACAGCTTAGTATTACTCATAATCTGTAAGTAGTCATATAAAGTAGTTCCTTGCTACGTGACCAGTACATGTAATTGTCTACATTTCAGCTTCACTCAAGTTAGAAAGATCTGAAGCTGAAAGACCTATAACATTTTAGAAGTGGAGGCTGTAGCTGAATACAGCAAACAAAGTGCAAGCCAGAGGACAAAGATCTGAAGAAGGGTGATCTTTCATAGAATAAAGCTACAGCTTTATGCCATGGGTCTCTGAAATCACTTTAGAAGCTGCAAATGAAAGGCAGCTGAGTGAACTAGCAAACTGGGTCAGGGCTGAATGCATCTAAATCCTATCAATTCAGAAGACTGGTGGTTCAGATACTGCAGGGATGGTGAGCGCAGTGAGAACTTAAAGGGACCAGAATGAGGGTTTGGAGGAAGGGGGTACAAGAAGTGGGGTTTTTGTTCTTGGTTTGATTTGCTTAGTGAAGTGAATGGCAGAGTGACTGTCATGATAATCACTGTTAGATTCTAGAAAGCAAAACTGCTCATGATGAAAGTGATCTTAGTACAGGTTTTCCAGCAGAATTCACTTTAATTCTTCATGCTTCAATAAGATACAATTGTACAAGTCAGGAAGACTTAGCAGTTAGCTAAATGTTACCTAATGCATCCAGTATAAATCCAGGGCAGAGGTCCTAGCCTGGAGGGAGCCTAATTTCAACACATTTCTTAGCTAAATAAGAAAAAAAAAGTAATTTTTTTACGGATCAAGGATGTGGCAGAGAGGCTGCCTGCTCTAGTAAGTCCCACGGACTATTACCCACTCCTGGTGATACATGTGTATAGATAGTAGTAGCCTGGGGAACATAAAGAAGGACTACAGAGCCCTGGGGGAGGTGGTTAGGGGCTCTGGAGCTCAGATAGTCTTTTCATCAATTCTCCAGGTTACAGGGGAGGACCTAAAAAAAGCTAGGAGGATTAGCCAGGTTAATAACTGGTTAAAAGGGTGGTGTCATAGTCAGGGGTTTGGGTGTCTTGAACACGGGACCCAAGCCTATAGGCCAGGTCTAGTGGGGGCTGGTGGAGCTGGTCTGATGATAAAGAAGGGAAAGAGCAGTTTTGGTAGGAGGCTTGCCAGACTGGTCAAGGAGGCTTTAACTCGATGTGTTGGGGGAGGGGGGCATCATTCCATCCCAACACACCCAGTCAGTTGCCAACACCTATAATAAATGCTTGGAGCAATGTAGAGATATCCCAGCCGCTCCAGCCAATGAGCCGGCTTCAGTTGGAGCTCAGCTCAGATGCCTCTATACAAATGCCCGTAGCATGGAGAACAAACAAGAGGAAGTAGAGATGTGTGCACTTCTACGGGGGTATGATATAATAGGCATCACAGGAACATGGTGGGATGGCTCCTATGACTGGAGTGTTGGAATGGAAGGTTACAGGCTCTTTAGGAAGGACAGGCCTGGCAGGTGGGGAGGGGGAGTTGCCCTTTATGTTAGGGATAGGCTGGAGAGTATGGAACTCTGTCTGGGGACAGGTGAGCAGTCCACAGAGAGTTTGTGGGTCAGGGTTAAAGGGAAAACAGCTATGGGAGACATTACTGTGGGGGTCTGTTACAGACCGCCTGATCAAGGAGAACCTGTGGATGAAGCACTCCATAGACAGATAGGAAAAGCCTCACGCTCACAGGCCCTTGTTCTCATGGGTGACTTCAACCACCCTGACATCTGTTGGAAGGACGGTACGGCCCGGCACAAGCAATCCAGGAGGTTCCTCGATTGTGTAGAAGGCAACTTCCTTCTGCAAGTAATAGAGGAGCCGACAAGGAGAGGTGCCGTGCTTGACCTCGTGCTCACCAACAAGGAAGGGCTCGTTGGAAATGAGACTCTCCAGGGCAGCCTTGGATGCAGCGATCATGAGGTGCTCGAATTTGAGATCCTCAGGACAGTGAGAAGAGCATGCAGCAAGCTCACTGAGCTGGACTTCAAAAGAGCAGACTTTGGCCTCTTCAGAAACCTGCTTAGGAAGGTTCCATGGGATACAGCCCTAGAGGGCAGAGGGGCCCAAGACTGTTGGTCGATATTCAAGGATCACCTGCTGCAAACTCAGGAGTGTTGCATCCCAACCAGAAGGAAGTGCAGCAGGAGGGCCAGGAGACCTCCTTGGTTGGATAAGGAGCTCCTGAGGAAAATTCAAATGAAAAAAGAGGCTTATAAAAGGTGGAAGCAGGACAGGTGGCCTGGGAAGAGTACAGGGATGTTGTCCGGGAAGCTAGGGACCAGGTTAGGAAAGCTGAGGCCCAGTTAGAATTAAACTTGGCTAGGGATGTTAAAGATAACAGGAAGGGATTCTACAGGTACATAGCAAATAAAAAACAGACTAGGGAGAATGTAGGCCCCCTCAGGAAGCTCTCAGGAGAACTGGATACACAGGATTTGGAGAAGGCTGAGGTTCTGAATGACTTCTTTGCCTCGGTCTTCACTGGCAAAGGCTCTGACCAAACCACCCAAGTCTTGGAAGGCAGATGCAGGGACTGTGAGAATGAAGGCCTTGGGCCCACTGTAGGAGAGGAACTGGTTCGAGACCATCTTAAAAATCTGAATGTGCACAAGTCCATGGGAAGTGATGAGATCCATCTGCGGGTCCTGAAGGAGCTGGCAAATGAAGTTGCGAAGCCGCTGGCCATCATATTTGAGAAATCATGGCAGTCAGGTGAAGTTCCTGATGATTGGAAAAAGGGAAATATAACCCCCATTTTCAAGAAGGGAAAATGGATGACCTGGGGAATTACAGAGCAGTCAGTCTCACCTCTGTGCCTGGCAAAATCTTGGAGCAGATTCTCCTGGAAGGCATGCTAAGGCACATGAAAATCAACAAGGTGCTTGGTGACAACCAGCATGGCTTCACTAAGGGGAAATCCTGCCTGACCAATTTGGTGGCCTTCTGTGATGCGGCTACAGAACTGATGGACAGTGGTAGAGCAGTTGATGTCATCTACCTGGGCTTGTGTAAAGCGTTCGACACTGTCCCACATGATATCCTTGTCTCTAAATTGGAGAGACATCAATTTGATGGGTGGACCGCTTGGTGGATAAAGAACTGGCTGGATGGCCGCACACAAAGAGTTGTGGTCAATGGCTCAATGTCCGGCTGGAGACCAGTAACGAGTGGCATCCCTGACTCTCAGTTTGTAGCCTGTACATACCCAGTGCATGTATCCTGCCCATCGTACTTGCTTGATTTAATACTTGCAGGTGATTGCATGGTGTCAGGCTTTAGCCGTGTGTCCTGCTGGGGAATGAGCACTGCCAAGAGTTTCCACCCTGCCTCTGGGGACTACTGCAGTCTCTTCTCTGCTCCCATTTATACCCTGCCATTAAATGTCAGTTGAGGTTCTGATCTGTGTCATGCTAAGAGCTAGTAAACTGCAAAATACACATGAAAAAGCCCTGCCATCACAGTGGCTGGGGAAATCCTATATGCCTTGCTTATTCTCAGCTCACACTTTGAAAGGCATGCTCTGCTTTGATGGGATTTGTATTGCTGAATCAAGCTGCTGCTGCTGCCCAGGGTACATGTCTTGGAGAGTTACACCTGATTAATGGCACTCACTTTCACAAAGACCTCCTCAGTTAAGCCAGGATGCTCAACTTTTACCCGGCTTAGCTACAGCCTATAGATGGCACCTAATTAGCGCAGAATAAAGCGGTGTCTGTTGCTGCCTGTAAGAAGGAGGTGCTGCCCACAGAAACTCCAGATCCCAGTGTGCAATCCTCTGTCTTCATCTGAGCAGCCTGGCATGTGCTGCTGGCCGCTGTGTGCAGCTCCATCACATGCTGGCCAGAGCCTCTCTGCTGAGAGTATTACATGCTAACCTGATTCCATACTGGGAGTCTGTCAAGATTAGAGGTCCGTAATGTGACTGTTTGCTGGCTGGTTTAGTAAGATTTTTAACTGATTGCAGATACCTGCAGTCCCTTTCCAAAGCAGACAGTCCTGAAACTAAAAAAGTAGTGTGGTGAGCAAAGAAAGATGAAATAGATCCCCTTTTCTTTTCTGTTCCAGCACAGATCTTGGTAACTGGTACAGACAAGAGTAAATACATGGGGGGGAAGTAAATGTGTACATCAAGACAGTTAAAATTTGTTGCAGAAGAAAAGCATGCTATAGAGCAGAGGCCCAGGCTGAGGAACCTCTGTGCTGGTGGTGGCAAAAACAGCAGTTCTTGAGAGCCCCAGAGATGTTTAATGAAAGTGCCTGGAGCAGGAATCAAATTCTTTGCCATAGCAAACGATAGCACGTGTGTAATTATCCACGAACTATTCAGAGGCTGTTATTTTATGGCTTGAATTGTGTTGTATGGCAGCTGAGAAGCAAGTACCTAGTATATCCATCTGTGTGTGTATGTACAGATATAAATTCAAGCTCAGTGTAGGCCGTTTGGGATCTTTTTCCATTCTGTGCTGTTGTGGGAGGAGCTGGTCAAAACTGCAGCTGCATTCAAGGCTAATCTGGCAAGGCACATAGCAGATGTTAGAAGAGTGCTTTGCTTGAGCAGTATGAATTGTTAACAGCTTCATACAGCTCTCATAGGTTCTGTAGGGAAGACAGCAAGGTCAATATTCAAAGGCTACTTTGTGTACAATCAGGAGAAGAAACTTCCTTAATTGTTTCTGCAGAGGCCGGGTTCAGCCCTGTCTCTGGTCTCCTTGCAAAGCTGTGTACCACACACAAATGCTCTTCAGGGGTGACATTTCAGCTTTCATTTAGGGAGCAAGTGCTAACTGTGGTCTCAACTGAGCTTTTCAGAGCTTTTCCACAGTTCTGCAAGCATCTCTCTTGCTTCTAACTGTAATAGGAAAGCCTTCTTTGTAAAGCAAAGGTCAAAGGGCCAGCCCTTTGGAATTACATTCTTATAGGACTTTGCCTGTGAACATGATACTTAGTCCTTCTGTGTGTTGTTACAATTCATATGTTAAAGCTATCTCAGAAATACAAAGTATTCCCATTCTTCAATGGAAACATTGATCTTTGGGTATGGCAGTGTAGGCTGGGCATGAGAACTTTACGCTAAGTGATTATGTTTTATGTTTGGTGTTGTATGCTAGTTAATGCTCATCATCAGCTCAGCAGTTAAAACCAAAAGAGAGATTGAATATCTACTCTAGAATTTCTTCATTTCAGTTAGGGATATTATGGTCAGACTTCTTTAATATCAATAACTGGCTTCATTATTCTCTTACATTTTCCATGCACAAGAGGACTTCAGACAGCACTGATACTATGCAGTGTATAGGAAAAATATATGGAGTAAGGAAATGGAAAATACTTTCTGTGATCTTTTAAATACTTTAAGTTCATAATAGCAAGAATAAAACATTTTCTAAAGGGAGAAGGAATTGATCACATATTCTGCTAGTTAATTTCAAAAGAAATAAATCTTTTAAAGATGCAAGGAACAAATTAAATGTTTTAGTCATTTTGGAAAATGCTCCATAATTTGCTTCAGTTTTGTTTTCGGATTTCTCTTTCTTGGGATTTTCTTTCATTAAATATCTAAGTCCATAAATATAAACTCTTCAGTTTAGAAGTTTATCTTTTACATCAAGTATATGCTGTGTTGTTGCAACAGTGATCTCCTATTCAGTATTATGTTGATTTGTCGTAAGTGCTTATGATAGATAATAGATGAACTTTATAGCCTAAAGACCTGTGTCATATAGTGCAGCAATGAAGTAAATGTGCATACATGCACGTAAGCTAATATCTGTGTGTAAAGGTGCATATGCTTTCGTTTATTTTCCTCCTCCAGATCAAGTTTTTCCTCCCTCGTGCAACATAGAGAAGAATTTTCTCTCGTTAAATTACCTTGCGGGATACCTACAACCAAAAACGGCAGAGGGGTGCCTTATGTCTCACTTAGTCCAAGAAAGAGAAGTTCACATCATTGAACTAATCACTCCAAATTCCAATCCATACAGGTAAAGTATTGTCTAAATACACTAAATCTGTTTGAAATCACAGCCAAAGATTTTAGCTGTCTATTGAAAATCAGCTGAAACCATAATTTCAACCTTACAAGAAGAGCTTGGACCTTAGTACTTTGCCTTAAATAGAGATTGGTTTTGCAATATGTAAAGGTTTTGAATTCTGCTTCATGATCCCAGGATTTTGCTGGACGAGGCTGCAAAGCACAATTCTTACGGACTCTATCCTGCCCCTCTTCTTGCTCAGTCAATCAGATTATTCCAAGAATAAGATGAATGAGAGCAACATCTGACAGACAGTGTTAAAGATGGGACCACTGTATGAGGAAGTGAGAGAGAGGTTGAAAGTAATCTTGACCTGTCACAGACAGGGGTAGCTGGCAGCGAGGCCTAGGGCAGTGGCTTTCAAGCAGTGGTCCAGAGGTCACAAGTGGTCTGTGGTCCATGATAATTGTTCCAGTATGGGTCTGCAGAACCATAACAGTATTTTCTGTCAAGTTTCCAGTTGAGTTTAATGGATAGTGTGTATTGCAAGAAATGTTAAGAGTTGACAGAGGTCCACTGTCCAAAAAGGCTTATAAATAGTGGTTAGGGAATATTGCTTAACTCTCTGTATGCAAGAAGAAAAATACTATTTCCTCACAGAACAGGTAGAATTAAAATCCTGTCTATGTACTGCAGACACTAGATATCCAGCACTGTCTAATTGTACTCCTCATGTAGTTACATTTAGGCATATCCATTCTGTGATGCAACGTTCACACAGGGAGACAGAGGTAGGAGGAGGGGTCTTTGCAAGAAGGGTAACTATCTCATTGCAAGATGGTGAATCCAGAGCCTGGAATATTCGTGCCTGTCAACCTTGGGAGAGTAAAAATGTGCTGAGGTGTAGTAGAAGTGGAGTATAGGTAAACCCAAATGATCTGCCTCTGAGTGGCCTGAGTTGCAGCCCTATTCTGAACAGCTGCTGTTCAGTGTCAACATCAGCAAGTCCCTTGCAGTGCTGTGCAATGACAGCCATGTCTCCAAGTCCTCTGGGCTTTTGGCTTTGGCTGGTAGTATGATAGGAATTTGTTTTTCAGATGATAACAGTGCAAAATGTTTTGTTATTTAAAGTAAAAAGTAATAAATTCATCTTGTTTCATTTTTAGTTTTATCTGTTATCCACAGCTATTTTTGCAAAGTTTATATCCAGAAAGAAACATACAGAAGCTGACCTGGGCATGTGTAAAACTGCAGGAGGTGAAACAAAGGTCCCAAGATACTTAGTGTATCTTACTTAGGGATGAGCACGTTCTTGTGACATATGGCCCCATAAGACAATCTGGAAGTAAAGGTTTTCCTATTCAACTAATATTTTGCATGACAAGATATTATTGATGGGTACAAACCCATTTGCTCTACTTATTTTACTGAGGTCTTGAAAATCTGGATGGTGTTCATCTATTTTCCAGCAAGCAGTAGGCTGGACATCTGCTTTTCTTTTCATTTTAAAGAAAGTATATATCCAGAAGTATTGGAAACAGAATGCACAGTGTAATTCTTCAACACACGCAAGATCCTAAGCAAAGTCATTTCCACAATTTAACTTCCTAGGCAGAGACCTACCCCAATGTAGTATTTGTGCAGTTTTTTTGGTATTAACCTGTCTAATTTGTCTTTTTTTTTTTAAGGTATGATTTTGAGCTTTAATATCGTTATAGCCAAAGGAAACTGCAACAGCTATATTTAGGCACTGTCACAGTGAAATAAGAAACCAATATTTACATTCTAAAGCAAACTGCTAGTCATATAACTAACCTCCTCTAAGTAATAGCTGAAATGAGTAGCACAGTTCTTGTAAACAAGAGACAAAAAAATATGATTTATCTAAAAAATATTTTATTTCTATTGTTATTCAAAATCATTTAAGTGTATGTGGAGTAACAATCTGTTTTGCACATGTTGTGTTGCCTGGGATAATCTCCAGCATTTTAATCAGCTGGCCAGACAGTGGAAACATGATGGATTGGAAGAAGGTTGATAGCTGAAAATTTCTGGCATTCTGGTCTGACTTTCTCCCTATTTTCCACATACAGTGCTTTCCAGGTGGATATAATCGTTGACATTAAACCATCTCAACCAGGCACCAAACTTGTCAGAGATGTCGTACTTATCCTCAAGTGTAAAAAGTCTGTCAATTGGGTTATCAAGTCGCATGATGTCCAAGGAAAGCTGGAAGTGATTGTAAGTTGAGACACCTTCATTTTTTGCAACAATACAGAATCCATTTAAACGTGGTACAGTGCTAGATCACGTTTTCTCAGCTGCTTTTCTAGTTATTAACTGCATTTCAAGGAGTAAAATCAGAAACTATGTTTTTTTTCCTTATTAACTTAGTATATGGGCTATTAAACTGACCAGCACATCACAGAAACCAGGTGGTAAAAATACAAGGATTTAGGGTCTGCGTCTTTTTGGCTTCGGCTGAAGTACCCTAAACACTGTGTTGGATGTTCATCTCCCTTTCTGCTGTTACTTTGGTGAGTGGATGTACAGGTTCATCTCTGAAGTTGGAAAGATGTCTGTGAGTACAGAATGGAGAATCCTAGATACTATGGCACATACATCCCTGTGGAAGTGAAGGCTTTTTTACTCCTTCCACTTGTGGTTCTAGTAGTCTTTAGCCCTCTTCCCTGCCAGTACTTCTGTCCCCAGCAATGTTTGTTCAAACTGAACTTGCCTCTCCTCAGACCACAACCAGGAAGCTTTAAAAAACATAAACCCAGGATCTATAAAGCTAAACTTCTGAAACTATACTTACACATAACTGGAGATTCTGATGCAGAATGATTTTTGCTATAGGCTTTGTGGCTCAACACCATTTCTACCAAGAAAATGAGCTTTTCCTTGCTTTGAAATAAACAGATAAATACAATCGGACTGCTCTTGCAGCCTATAGATGTGTGACCTGTTTCAGTCTTAAGTGATCAGTTAAGAGCATATTGTGCAGTTGAGCTGAATGTTTGCTCAAGACTTCTGGGTGGCCTCCTTATTAAGCTTTGCAGTAACTTGGATGCATTTTCAAACTCCAGCTATCTATACTAACATTTTACTAAGAATTTTACTTTGCTTAGTAGCTTTCTCCCTTTAATGTGTGCAAGGGCAATTCTGACAAGATCAGAAGGCTGCTTAGTCTAAATATTCTAAGAGGACAGATTGATAGGCAGGATTTCATGCTAGATTTTGACAGGGAAATAAAAGGAAATAAATTACTGTGCTGCTCAGGAAATTGAATGGAAAAATTGTCTAGGGTGGATGATGAAATTCCCTTTTGATCTCTGATGCATATTTATTTAATGGACGGGAAAGGATGTTCTGGTCATTCTGCAGGTCCTGAATAGGCCTGTTTATAGGTCTAAGGATAGAGAATTGTGCATCAGTTCACTTCACACTTGGAGATAGTCAAAGTACCGTATTTCATATCATAACATGACATTTTATTTAGATTAAGGAAAAGAGAAAGGAATACTATATATGGAAATGTCAGTATATAAAATACTGTATATTTATATTAGGATTTGTAACTGCCATACTGCTTCATTTGCTATACTGCTTCATTTGTATAGATGCTTCATTTTCTGAATGTGTATTTGTTCTCCTTCATTTAGAGGGGTGTGGGAGAGAACTAAACACCCCCATGTCATTATAAAGCCTGTACGTCCAGCATTTAGGATCTTTCTGTATCTCTATTAAGCTGAAGGCCTTTCCAAGCCCAAGTTTAGACAATGCATAATAACATTACTGAACAATTAGGTAATGTTTCACAATGTTCTTTTTATTAGTTGAAGCAGTTCCATGCACTTCAATTTTCCTAACTTCTTGCCCTCAGTACTAATCGGAATTGTCTTGAGGGGATTGGCAAACCGAGAGGGAAAGGTTAGTGCTAAGCTGCCTCAAACTCAGGACCATGAGTTATTAAGGTGTAAGTTCATAGACAAAGTGAAAAAGACTTTTTGGGTCATCTGGCTCAGCTCCCAGCTTGCTGGGTTTTTTGAAACTCTGAAAGAGGATGAACACAAAATCAAGTAAAATGGGAATAGTATAAGTAAAGTAACTGCCTGTGATATACACACAATGCTTTCCTCCCAGGCTGTGCGCGCAACTCGTGTGTGCAGTCTGTCCTTCCTTTACTCCCCGTGCAGTGCTTGTGTATTTCTGTGCTTGTGGACTCTCTGCCATTCACATTACTTTGGACTCAGTGTCCTTTGAGAAAGCTGTGGGCTGCACAGCAGGCAAAGATGTGAAGTTGCAGAAAGAAAGTAAGTGTGTTGAGGGGTAAAAAGTGAGAGAGGTGAAATGCACAGAACAAACCCATGAGGGTTTCGAAAGCTTAAAGTCACTCTTCTTTACAGGAGAACAACTGCCCACCAGTTCCTGAAATGGTCTCAGTAGGTTAGAAGGTGGCTTTTGTTGCCCGGTTTCATCTACTGTGAGTGAAGGTGTTGGCAGTGCAGGCAAGGGAAGACACTTCACTATGTCTATTTCTTCAAGCCCTTGTGCTTGGTTTTGTTTCATTGAGGCAATGCAGGACTGAATGTTTACAGGCTCAGCATGGAGTGGAGAGGTAAAAACAAGCCAACAAAATGGTCAGGTGCCAGTTAGGACAGTAAAATTCTGAGATAATGTTTATTCAGCTGTCTCTTCATGGCAAAAAAGAGAAGAAAAACAGAGAGGGAGGTCCAGCAAAGTTGGGGTAGTATAATAATTCCAACCAGTCAAAGCCATATGGTAATGTGAAAATGTGTGATAAATCATATCCAGATGAGTATCTGTTGAAGAATAAGAGATTTTTTTTGACCCAAAACAGTAGGAAGGCACTAAAATTAGGATACTTATTGCTTTTTTTCTGTTTCTTATCTTCAGTGGCCTTTGCTGGTCATTGATAACTGTACTGGTAACAGTATCTTCAAGCTCTGCACCTAAAATTCTCTTTAACTTCAGTTGTGAAACTATGAGTGTTTAAAGGATGTAGAACTGGGTCATTAGGAAGAAATGAGGGACGGAGCCAAACGAAAACTGTGCTGTGCCATTCCATCAGGACTCTGTACAAGCTTTATTCACTACTTTCTTCAAAAGCTCCATTTCTGAGGTGAGGCAAAGACGTACAGCTGAGCTCAGTGATGCTGGGTAGCAGGTCCATACAAACCACTGAGTAAAAGCAATCTGGGCAAAAGAGATTGGTGTGGTCAATCTTTTGATGTTCTAGAGTGAAAGAGAATTAAGATTGGCTTACATTGAGGGAAACCAATGGGGATTTAAAAAAATGCAGCCTATATGATGAAGGTAATCAGGCATAGAAGTGAATGTGTTTGTTGTAGAGCATTCAATGGTGTCATCTGCATATAGAAAGTGCAATTAGATCACATTGCAGAAATCCTTGACAAGTGGGTCGTTGTGCCTTTCCTGCTGTGTGTCTACTCAGCTTGTTCTGTAGTTGTTGATGTGATTGTTATAGGCATAATAGTAATGTTGTGTATATGAAAATAAATACGTATGTATTTAGCTTTGTGTGAATACTAGTTTAAGATGCGAAGCACTTAAAAACAAGTGAAATACCAGTGAATGTTTCCTAACTGCTTCTCTAACAGCTAGAGATGCTTCTTACATTTGTTTTACTCATCCATTTGTATGAGGAAATTGAAGGTTTTGCAGAACTTATGCAGTAAAACGAAAGGGAACTGGTTGTGCGGCTTATCTGTATTCCATGGCCACCTCTGAGGAGCTGTTATTTTTAATGATATAATGGTAAAACTAAGAGGTCAGCAAGTGCATTATGAATTCACTGTATGAATGTATTTGTGCAAAACTTATATTGTTAATGAAATCTGAAATTTTATTGTGAAGAAAGTGTATGCTGTCCTTTGAAGCAATTTGGCCTTGCATAAATGTGTATGCTCTTGCGTATTGCTCTATTAAGGGTTGAATTCAGTCCTGTTTAACATACTCAACATTTTGCAGGAGACACAGCATGAAGCTCATTCAGGGAGTCACAGACTATCCTCGATTCGAGCTGACTTTGAAGCATTAGCTGGTATCAGCTCTCTACTTCATGAGCATGCTATGTTTTGCCTTTTTCAGTAATGTTCATTTGAACAAAGGTTTTCCCATATGTAGTTTAAGTAATGCTCTCTTCAAAGAAATGAAGGGGGCATTTGAAAGAATCAGTTGTCATCCTGAGTGCCCCTTACCTCAGAAGTCATGTCGACTGAGTTTTGAAGAAAATACAGCTGTAAATATGCCTTTGTCTCATTAGGGATTAACAGTTCCGAGCTACCTTGATTTATTGTACTCCTGGCAGAGCCTGGGAGGAAGGGGGGCCTTTTCTCCATGCGTGCAGCAATTCTGTGCCTAAGGTGGCAGAGTTTGGTTTATTTCCAAGGTGTTCTCAGCTTGCTGTTACTTAGTAGAGTAAAAAAAAACATGTTTAGTCAGTGTCACTATTCCATTTTAATTATCCTTAAATGGTAAATCATGAACCAAGTTTTTCTTTGCAGACATCAAATAGCATTGGTTTTGGAAAGGAAACGGAGCGATCCATGAGCATGAGTAAATCAGTAATACCTGATCTTCCTTCATCACATGAGAGTTTGATCAAGTGGGCTTATGAGCATAACTACAGTCCAGTTATTTCCTACACAAAAGCCCCTGTTGCTAACAGATTTCATCTGCAACTTGAAGATACAGGTACACTTGAAATGGACTTCTAGCATATAGAAAACATGTCTTGTATTTCCAGGAATATGATGATTTGAAAGGTGCTCTGTCAGTTGTTGGGGGTTGCGCTACTTTTGTTACTCATCATCAAGAAAGCTGGTGTTGGAGTATCTGTGAATGCTGGTTAAAAGAAGTATTCTGTGGCTTTTTGATGAGGAAAATCCAGGCAAATTGTGTTATTTCCTGAAATTATAGTGAAATTAAATGGTTATAGCTTATCTAGCTCACAAGCTGTTACAGCTGACCATGCTCAGCCTTCACTGCAATGGACTTCAGTAGCTGGATATTTTGTAAGTTAATAAACTCAGCTTTGAGTCTATAATACTTTTTCCCCAAAGTGTGAGCATAGTATTTCCTTGAGATAATTAAATAAACTTTTAAATTGCTTTCAGACAAAACTGTCTTACCATAAAAATCTGAGCAAATTGAATAAATACAGCCCTCAAATTAGTTACTTGGCCAGAGTCATTACTGATGTTAAAATACCTATGTCCATTGAAGCTAGTAGAGCTGCATCTGCTTATTCACTACTTCAGCCACTAGAAGTGTTGCTTAGCTGGTTTGATAAAGCTGATGTTCACATTAATTTTATCAATTGGACTCTCTTGGGTTACAGATAAACTACCTGCTTGGGGTGGGTGTTGAGACTTCTGTCCTGAGCAGTTGCATGTGTAAGCCAGCAGATAGTGTTCTCATTTACATAGTATAAAGTTAAGCCTCATTTGACTTCACTTTGGTTATGTAAGTAGTTCCACAACTGTCGAGTGACTGAATGTGTGATGTGTTCCATGCCATAATTTTCACTTAGGCTATTTCAGCAGCAATAAACTAGAATATTTTCTAAATGGGGTGTTCCTTTTACCTCTGTGATTGCCTTTTGCATATAATGGGCCCACTCTTCATAGTTTATTTTCAGCTCCTGGTGAGGCAGATTTCTAGCAGGGACTAAAATATACCGAGAGCAGATGTCACAATAACAACTAAACCCTTACTGCAGGAATTGTGGCCAGATATCTGGAAAATACAAAAATGGTGCTTTAGGTGTCCTTCAGGAACTTCTTTTCTGGATAATATTTTATTCTTTTTTTGTATGAAAATTATTAGTTCTGAATGCTTTTAGGAAAAATATCTAATAACCTAATGTTTTCCCTTTTTTCAATTTTCTTTTTCTTTCCTCTTTTGTTTTAGAAGAGATGAATGATGAAGAAGATCATTCCCTTCCTCCAGAGCTGACAGAATTGCTGGGTGCTAACCCACTGCCTGCCCCAAAGAATCCTGCATTAAGTGATGGCCTGACCTTTCCTTTTCACATTAACAGAGGAAGACATGAAACAGTGGGAGAAGGAATCTTCCCATCCAGGGATTCAGTGGATACATTAATAAATCATGATTTTGAGCATTCCCTCTCAAAACATAAAGAACCTGAAGAGGCTCAGGGCAGTGCTGATATGGCCCTGTCAATAAAGTGTGATGACAAAGTCATGACAGTAGCTGTAGAAAAAGACTCTCTGCAGGTTGGTGTGATCTCTTTTTCTCAAATTTGGGAAGGCTTTTCTGGGCAGATCATTTTATTTGTATTTTGATAATAAAAAATAAACATTCTATACCCATCACCAGCCAGCCTCCCAGAGTAGAGTTTGGTGAGGAAACTATAATATAGTTGTAACTCAAATCATGTTTCCTCTTCCCAACAATCAGGTAGTTTGTAGAGGGATTTTCTGATTAAAGCTTTGAGGGGTTGGTTTGTCAGAAAACGACTGTACTCAGCCATCAGTCTGGTTTTAACTTCTATAGTACAAAGAAGCTGCTTTTGATAGCTGCATGAGACCTGAATAGATCTGTCTTTACCATCTACCAGCTGACAGGTTGCTTGTGGCCATTGTGGAAATGAGCCTGACACAGACAGCGTTTTTAGCTCATTTCAGACCAAACAGAGTCAGCATTATTAATCAGTAGATTAATAATGAACCTGTTGTTTTCTTTGTTCCATGTTACATTTATTCCCTGTCTTGTACAACAGCATTTTGAGAGTGACCTTCCCTGAATGTCAGTACAATGAACTTCACTTCCTCCTATTAGCAGTCATGAGCGGTAGTCTGAGCTGCACTTTAAGCAAGAGCCTAACACAATTGTGTTTCAGCCACTTACAAAGCACCTTTGTTTCAGGCTAGTGGCTACACGAGGACAGAACTCTCGCTGTTGGATCACTCTTGCAAAGCCAGGATGAATGGTACCCATTTCATTTTGGAGTCTTTGCTGAACAAATGTGGGACTCGAACAGCATATATCTTGAACAAGATTGTTTATTTTAACTCTGTGAGTATTTTACAAAGAAGAGCCTCCTGCGCTGCACATCATAGTGGTACAAGGACAAGGAAGCCATTATAGTTAGCTTTGGTCTTAGCAAAAGGGATGCATCCAGATCTTTTCCTGTCTAGCTCAAGCCTAGTTGTAGTCACAGTCCCTGTATTCAAGGAGGTATGAAGGCTCCACATTCAGTGTGCTCCTGTGGTCAGATAGTATTCCAAAGGAAAAAGGAGGAGTTGGAGTTAAATACTGTTACAAAACTGCGTGACTGCAATCTGGGGACCATCCATACCAGTCTCAGAGAAGTTTCACCAGCTTTTCCTATGCAGCTTTGATGTACCTGTACGTAACAGTACTACATAGCTGTAAGGAGAAATAGGAATTAAGTTTTGTGATTCCACAAAGCAATACCATTTAATTCATATGCTGAATTACTCACTAATTCATTATTTCATTAAGTGAAACTCTTTCTTCCCGAATTGCATATGAAAAAGGAGAAGATATTTTTGCATGCTTCTCTCTTCTAAATTGGATTCATATTTGCCATCAGTTGATGTACACGATGAAAGGATTCTTGAGTGCTCTGAATAAGGGATGATGCTAAGGAGCCAGTTAAGCTCTAAGCAACTGCTTCCAGGCTGACTCGGTTTATGAGGTTGAGTACAGTGCAGCTAATCTGGGTTAGAAAGTAATGACATGTTTCTCATGCTGAGCTTTCCAGTACATAGAATTAACCTCAGCAAATGATGGTCCAACCCAAAAACGGCTAAGGCAATCTGATCTGACCTTGCCTGGTTAAAACCATTCTGTACTGGCAAGTCTGTAGCACTTAACTTTAGAAACAGTCCCAGACCAAGACTGTGGATAGAAAAATCTCCAAACTACAGAGTAGCACAGGTCTAGAGTTAAATACTGTAATTGCCCTTATATTATGGCCCAAACTAAAATGGATATTTGCCTCTTCTCCTTTCTGCATCATGTCTTGTAATGGTCTTGGATACTCACTGACACTCCAAAACATGTATGGTATCTTTCAGAATTTGGGAGCATTTCTCCTAAAAAAATGAGCAGCATGCAGTGGACTCTCAAAGAGTGTATATGTCACTTCTGAGCAGTTGTTCAATGGCCAAGAAAACCAAGATGAAGTTCTGGAGGGGGGGGAACTAGCTGAGGAGCTGCTGGGCTTACAGCAGCAGAGTGCAGAACATTGGAAAGCAAAAAGAAGAATTGTCAGGTGAAGAAATGGAGAAGTGTGTAAAGGAGGACAAAAAGGGAGGGGCAATTCAGTAGGAATTCAGAGAAAAATGAAGGAAAAATGAAGAAAGGGATATGGTGGTTTTAGGTGTACATCTCTGAAAAAAATAGTCAAATGACAGAAGAGAAAATCCTTTAATGACCCAAACACTTGCAGTGATTTTCCATGAGTGTGTTAAGGAAAACTAAGTTGCAAAAAACCCACTTTAGAAAGCCATTTCTCTTTTCAGTGTTGGTTGTAGGAATACCAGAAATAGAATGGAAATGCTAGGCTGCTCATTCAGACACTAGCACCCAGACTGGTGTCTTTGCTGGCTCTGAATTGTGGAAAAAAAACTAAGGGACATTCTCTAAATAGACCCTACATACCTTACATGTTCAGCACAAGGCTATTTAAGACGTGCTTTTCACTATCTGCTTAGCTGGTGCACTTCTTCTGGCCTTTGTATTGTTCTGAAGAGAGAAAGAAATAATAATCATGAAGAGAGAGTGCTGAGTTATCACCTAATTTTATGCATTTGCAATCCTTTTTGTGCAGATCGTTATTCAGCTGTCATCACCAGCCGAAAACAGTGGCTTTGATGATGATGACATGGAATCAGGTGATAATGGATTTCCAGGGGATGCTGATGAAGGAGATGTTGCTTTCTCAAGCTGGCCTGAAATAGCGGTATGTCCCTCTTGGGTTTGCACCTGACACTAGAGAAATGCCCATTGTACTAGGCACTTCACAAGAAATCATATTAATTCTATAGCAAATAATTTGTCTTTTAACACATTTCTCTTATATTGCTTGTGACCCTATTGAAGATTTACACTGTATTGTGCAATGCAAATTTGTTCTTATCCAGCTTCCACCCCTGACTCAGGATGCTATTGTATTGGTTTGTTTGATTTCAGTTTAATTGCACGCTGCACCAGCCAGAGAATGACAGAGGTGTGTTTTGGCCTCCTGAACCACACATCGCCAATGTCACCTTCAACATGGAGCTGTACAGAACAGATCTGTTCCTTGCTCCCTCCCAAGGACTCTTCTCTGTTGCTGAGAATGGACCAGTATACGTAGAGGTAACAAACTGAAAAAGGCTTTCAAACCAATGGAAACGGTTTGCAAGGCCATGCAGCTGCGCCAGATCTGTTCTTATCAGTTGAAAGGTTTTGTGAAGTTGCTTTAGGCAGACGAGTAGGTGCTTTAGTTGCTGCAGAGAACAGAAACTGGGGGGTGAGAAGCAGGACAATCTATTTTGGGTCAAAACCAAGAGATTCCTGCAAAATGGGTGAACTTAACAAGGTAAATGGGTCATTTTGCCAAATCTGCTTTTCTGTGCAGAATTTCAAGGTGTTCTCTGAGCTCTTCTTCTGAACTGGCATTTCTTGATGAAGACTTCAGAGTTCTTGTTATTCGGTAATATGGCTGAGGAACTTCAGACCAATACAGTCAGTATTTTGGGCTTATAAGGCCGGGAAAATGAAGATGTTACCAGAAGCAGTGCTGTGCCATGTTTCCCTTGCCCAAGGTAGCCCCTCTTTGGGAGCCCATGTTGCAGAAGTGTAGTGCCTGTTTGACACTGATGCAGTTTTTGTCATTGTTTCAATGTGTTGTGTCTCCTCCTCATTCTCTACACAGTGAGAATACTTAAGGCAGTTGAAGCAAAAATGTGTTGTGTTCAGTTAAGTGTGTGGTTTTTTTCATTTGGACAAAACCAGCTGCTTCCTTCAGTGATCTGGGATGAATCCCCGTGGCTCCAGGCCTCTGGATTTGACCAGTTCTGGAGCTGTTTATTCAGACACATGTTCTGATTTCTTCATCACCTGTCCTGGCAGAAAACTTTATTTTCCCTGCTTCTTCTTATTGCACAGTGGAAAACCTGTATCAGTTTTGAACTTCTGTGATTCCATTTTTAGCTGACGCGGACTTCTAACATTTTTGTTCCTGTTTCTGTTTTGCTTTTGTTATTAATATACATAATTCTTTTGGTCAATAGATTGCTTAGGTCACAACCTGTAAGAATTCTATAGCTCCCTTTTGTTTCTCTGCTAGAAATGTTTCTTTGTATTTGAATCTTTTGGCTATTTTTCTTCATCTTTGTTCTCTTCTGTCACTTTCTTACCACATTTTGGTCTCACTATCCTACTTAGTTCTCTTCTTTCCTTGAAATATCATTCCTCCCTTTATTTACCTGATGGTGTTTCATGATAGTGTAGCATTCCTGCCCTTGACATGATCTCTTTTTAAACTAGTTTATGCCATCAGCTTATTTAACTGTCAGTATCTGTGACTTGAGACTTGCATTCATCAGTGTTTATTTCTGTTCATTTTAGAAGATGGTCTTTCTTGCTTAGATGCTTCAGCACATCCCTTCATTTCTAATTTGATTGCTGCTCACATAAGGGAGAGAAAAAATGCCTTTATTCACTGCACAACTCATAGCATCCAAAAATTTCTGTACAGACCACAGGAAACTTTGGCAGGCTCTTCCTTAAATATACATGCAGCACATCAGGATTAAGTGCACATAAAGCACATTTCTTCTAAGAAGAAAATAATTTCTTGTGTAACTGTTCTCATCAGGCAGCGTTAATAGTTGAGGCACAACACTTCTGTTGTTTATTAAGAGCAACATGCTTCATTTGTCACAAATTCCATTAATTTTTTTTTCCTTAATTATTCTGTAGCATTTCTTGCCTGCATTCCAGCCCAGCTGAACAGCATCAGTGTCCTGGAAGTTTGCAGTCATTTTTCATAAAGGAATATGAATTTCAGACTTACAATAAACTAAAAGGATCCTTTAGGAGGCTCCCCTGCCCCCTGAGTCCAGGAATGCCACCCACATGTCAGACCATGACCTCCTCTCTGCCTCTGCATTCCTCTCCTGGCTGGGGGTGGGTTCTCTGCTGTGTCTGTTGCCTTTCTTTTTTGCCCTTTTCCTTTTTTTGCCCTTTTTCATTAATGTTTCAAGCAGATACAAAGACATGGAGTTAATAATTGACTTCCATACAGCTCTGTTCCAGCCTGTATGTCTAAGGGAAGCAGAGCCATTTCAGGTGGCGGTTGCAGGCATTAACTATGTGTCTGATCTAGACTGGGTTTTAATTTTGCTTTCAGAAAGATAAGGGATTGCTGTATTTAGGCATGGTTGTGCGGTTAAGCAGCTGCTGGTTTTGAAACCGTAGCTTTTCTGTCTCACAGTTTGACAGCCTACCCTTAACATTTAGCCTTCAAAATAGTTCAGATTGGAAGTGGCACTGGAAAACTGCTTGAAAAATTGTTGAAAATATTAGTGAAATGTGAACTGAAAATGCAATTTCTGACATCTCGCCGCCTCTCTTTAATGCAGGTGTCTGTGACTAAAGCTGACAGATCCTTGGGCTTTGCCATTCAAACATGCTTCATTTCCCCATTCTCAAATCCCGATAGAATGTCTGACTACACCATTATAGAAAACATTTGTCCTAAAGATGAATCTGTTAAATTCTACAGTACTGAGAAGGTGAACTTTCTGATACCATATGCACAGAAGGACAAAAAGAGGTTTAGCTTTGTGTTTAAACCAATATTCAACATCTCACTGCTCTTTCTTCACTGTGAGTTGACTTTGTGTACCAACAAAGATAAAGATACTCAAGGACTGCCAAAGGTCAGTAATTTATTGAAGTCTTAAGTTTCTGATTTAGATGAAAATAAGATATTTTTTTGTCATCTGAACTTTGAAGTGAATAAATGTTTTTTCTGTGGCATTGATGTCATGAACATTTTATCTCTAGGGTCAAGGCTTTAATAGATAAGACTTGTGATGCTAAGCATTGCATGATTTACAGTTTTTGTTTAAATTGCATTAGGTGGTTACATGGGATAAATAGAAATTGCTTTTTATTTTACAAGTGGTTCAAATTTATCTTTGCTACCTAAAATGCAAAGCACAAACAATGTTACCTCTAATTTCCAAAGACATGTAGAATACCAGCTATCTGACTGATACAAAAGAGGGCTGCCAAATTTTGCTTTAGAACTAATGGAAATGGCTGTAAATTGGTTGTTAAAGAACATGCTCTAAGAATTTGAAATTTCGTTGGGGTTTATGCACATTCTCCTTAAAATGTTTTGTTTGGGGTTCTTAAAGATGACTTTTCAATGTTGATCAACATGTGATGGGAGCTACAGTTTTGGCTACCAGATTTTTAAAAACAGATTTATCATAAAATAATTGCTACTTTTTGAGTTCAGTAGTAACACCTGTCATGAAGGTCACAGGATCCTTAATGAAGGCAAAGGTTGTGTCCTGAGGCACAGCTAAGAATTACCTTTGCCAGTACATTAAATGGGGTTGTCTGGAGGTTGTCCTCTTTTTTTGGTAAAGAGTATAGGATAAAACTGATGATAGGGCAACTGTGGAGCTGTCAATGGGTGACTCTCTCTGACTTCATGCACTGCTTCTTCCACTTGCAGTGCATTCCTCCTGATGAAGCTTGCACTTCTCTCAACGTGGATATGATTTTGGCTATGATGCACAACAAGAAAACCTTCACCAAGCCCCTTGTTGTAGTATCACATGAAGGAAAACCAGAAGGTACTTGTACTGTTGTGTAAGATACAGCTGGTTGGAATGCTAGAGTGCTCCATGTGGCATTGTTTGATCTTATGATACTGTGTTTGTAAGATGTTACTAGTTGAGACATCTCCCTGGCAGCAATCATCATGGCAGTTCATTGCTGGTTTTTGACTGTCGTTACTGATCTCTGGGCATGTGGTTTTGACAGGCATTGTGGAGGGAATACCATCCTACACCAGAGTGGTTTTCAGAAGTATGAATATTTATTAATAGCACTTGCAGCAACTTCTGGTTGGCCAGAGATCAAAGGCAGTACTCTTCTCCCTGTTGTATGATTTCTTTATTTTGCTTGTAAATACATATTTAGAAATAACAACAATGGAATTTCAGAGTACTGGGGGACTCTAAAGTCTGATATTCAGAGCAAAAGGTGAGATGCACAAAGGGATTTTAGCTCCGCTTTCAAGCTTTTTTGATTCTATAATCTTTAAGGAAAAACCCCACCAGTGTGGCTGTTGAAGGAGTTGGAAATGCTGAAGAGTGTTATGAGATAATGCCAGACAGCACAATGGGACTGGAAAGTTTTTTGTAGTGAATCCCTCTGGCAGCATCAGTCACATTCTGGTGCATTTGGAGAAGAAAATGTGTGTTGTCTTTTCCTTTTTTTGTATTAGCATGGGAGTTTAAGCAGAACTTTTTGTAGCTTCACTTGCACATTAAAATCTTCCAATTATGTCCAAAGGCTGTTTGCCCCTTGAAATGCTTTCTGGGGAGTGTCAAAAGGATGCAGATCGGAAGTCCTGTAATGTCCCTTGTACAGTGCATGCTTTTTAGTCTTCAAACAATGTAAAGTTCCATACAGCATTGCTAGGGGAAATAAGCAACAACTGCTTCTGTTTAACTCTGCAAGTCAGCTCATATTTAGTTTTTGGGGGTTTTACAAATTTACAGATCAAATCCACTCTGAATTAAAGGCATGTATTTGATCTGTCAGTGTGGTAGAATTCAAACTGTGCTTTGGGCCTGATTCTGCAACTCTTTCTTTTTGCAAAGCTCTCTTTCTTATTTCCTTAGTGGTTATTCTATTGGGAATGAGTAAATCCTGCAACTGAAGTTCAGCCTTCAATAAACAGACTCGTACTCTGAGCTCTCTTGCCCTTCTGATGTGTGGAGCACTGTGCGCAGTTCCCGTCTTGGGCTTCACTGAGAATGTTGTCTTTGTGAGCGGCACAAGCTCTCAGTGTGCAAAGATGAGCTAAATTTATAAAGATTAGTTACAAGACACCAGTGTGATAGAGCATTTTGTTGCACTGTGGGTGATATAGCCTAATTGTGGGGTGTTTGGTGGAAATCTCTCCAGCATATCACAGCTTTCAGACATCATACAAAGCGGCCCATTAGCAGCGTAGCTTTGTTGGTATGCAGTTGTTCTGCAGTGAATCAAGCAGCCCCTTTCTAAAAACTAAATGCCATTGTTGGCCAATATGCGAGCATAAGATTTGCAGAAGAAATACTGAACAGAAGAATTGATATTTCAGGGGTGTGGTGTCCTTCATTTGCTTTCATGGGAACAGGCCAGCTTTCATTGTTGTAAAGCATCTTAACATGAGTTACTGCCATTGGATCCTTTTTCTGAGCTAAATGAAGAAGTCATGCACTTGATATTTCAAAAGTCAGAACAAACTGGTCATTGCAAAGGTGCTGTCTTTTGTTCTTTGAACATAGGCTTATGAATGACTCATTGACTGTAATAGAAACCAGAACTGTGTGTCTGAATGGGAATGATTCTCCTCCTAATTTTGTTAGTTATTTCCAAGCTCAATTGCTTACATTATTGCAGTAGATCCCAATGGAAGTGTCTAAAACTCCATGCCACATTCTTTGCCTTTGCATTCCTGCATTTCATGCACACCCTCTCCCCCAGTTCAATGAGAGGCATATTCAATGGTGGCCCCTTAAATGCTAAGAAATAGGCGTTCTTCTGTAGAAATAATCTACCAATTGTTCAGATTTCTATTAAGTGTGGAAACTATAGATTATTATTTCCACAGCAAAAGGAGAGAGGTCATAGAAAGGATGTCAGGTGAGCAGCTAACAAGTGCCTCTATGCTATAAAGCTGTAGAAAATCATGATAATTTTTAAAGACTGGCTGCTGGTTATTCTAAATTAGATGCTTTTCCTGGACTTTAAGGATTCCTGCTGCTTCTGTGTTACACTGAGCAAATCACATTAAAATAAGTTTAAGAACTGGATGACTGGGGAGAATTGTTAGTGGGCGATGCAGCCTATCATTAGCAGACTTTATATCCTCTGTAGAGAGGCCAGTGGCAGAATGAGCATGGAAAATTCATTCTCCCCTCAGCTCAGAAGGCATTTTCTTGGCATTTGGGATATGCTAGTGGAGTGTTTGGACAAACTGATAGTGCCCTTACCCATGTTTGTACTGTTCAGTGCTCCCTGGTTTCAGTCCAGCCCTCCTCACAAATCTTGCATCAAGTTACACTTTTGCTGTGTGTTAGAACAAGTGACAATCACACAGATAATGAATAAAATGCTTTTTTTGGATGTTGTAGGCACATGCGAGCCTAATGATCTTGTAGGATATTGCTGGCAGTTTAGTGCTGCCATTTGGGGTTCAGAAGGTAGAAGCATGGTCTTGGTTTAAGGGTAATTTAACATACTTATTTGCAGTATTTTTGAGCTGCTGTGTTTAGATAGCAGTTAAACAATTCTTTCTCTCAGTTGCTAAAGATACAAAAACAACTACTGGGACACTGTCTTACCAAATCCTTTTACAGCTGTTGCAGTGAACACACTCAGATATGCCAGAATTTAAATGAGATTCCCTAGGTTACTGGGCAGTCCAGAAACAAACTACAGCTAACCAAACAGGTCCTTGGGGCCGAAGCCAGAATCTCTGGCTCTTCTGCTCGAGGTGGCACATTTGGAGAAAGATAAGAGAAGCCAGTTATCAAAAGAAGGGAAAATTCTTCATTTTCAAGTATATGTTTACTTGTCTCTTTCTGTTACATGCTGATAATAATGATGATATTTGATATTCTTGCCAAGAATAATAGCTTTGATATAATAGCTATGAGCGTTTATTTCTTATATATCATTATATCACCAAACTTTTTAAAGCAGAATACCAAGTAGGACGGACTCAGGAAACTGTGAATCAACGCATACTCATGCAATTTGGACAAAGCAGTGTGTATCATGCCGTAATACTGACTTTTCTTCAGTTGTGATAGCCAGTGTTTGATTGCATTTTTGTGATATAGCTTATTGATATCTCCTGTTTGTCATTAATGAATACTCAGATGAATGTCATCACCTTAAAACCAGCCTTTGCAATCTGTGCAAAATCTTTAAGAGCTCCATATAGGAATAACCAGAGTTAGTACAGGTCAGACCTGGTGACATCTGGGTGTGAAAAATTGCAGTGTACTTGCCATCAAAACATATGATGCATGAACTGTACTATAGATGTGTTTCTCCAAGGAATGATCAATACGCGAACAGAATTCTTCTGAGCTGAGCAAGATTATTGAATTTGGGCTGGTTTTACTGAAATTCCTGATTAAGATTACAGTTAATGCGTTTATGTCAGATCAGGTCCTGAAGGTTGCTTGCATAGTTTGTAAGCTGTATGTGGAACTCTGATTAATGGTTTGTTTCTTTTTTTCTTTCTTTGTTTTTAATTAGATTCTTCCCTTCCAAAGCCAAATGTGAGACAGCCGCGTAAGTAACTCTTGAATAAATCTCTTTTAAGCCTTAAACTTTTATCTAGAGAGTATTAGAGCAATGAAGAAAATTATCTTAAAGCTTTCTGTGTGTGTGTGTGTGTGTGTGTGCATGTGAAATTCTGGGACAAGACAGAATTCTGACTGTATTGCTGGTTGAAAGATTCCGATCAGCGTTTAGAATGAAGGGCTGTGACCTTTTGTACCTGTGCAAATCAGATCTGGAGAAACACCATGCCGCCTTAGGAAGTGCATTTGCTGATGTGTGTTTGTTGTTTCCCCCTTCACTGCTTCCCTATACCAGCATTTCAGCAGCAATGCCAACTGACGGAGCTCCTGTTTTCTACTTCAAACCTCGCTCCTACCCTGCACCACAGCTGGCTACATCCCCAGTTACTCTGGCACCAGCACTTACAGGTCATGCTGGAGATGAGATCACTGACTTGATATGGATTAAATTCTCTGTGTTTTCTGTTGTCTTGATGCAGTAGGTTAATCAGGGTCAATAGGAAGGGAAGAAAAGGAGAGAAGCATCACTAGAAGACAGTAATAAGCAGGAAGGTGAAGATTATTTGTAGCCAAAATCAAGAATGGATAGAGAAGAGGAAGTGCAAAGAAGGTGGTTTTTTTCCTTTGCCCTTGTCCCTATGTCTTTGGGGCTAAATTTGCTCAAAATAGCAAGGGGAATGAGAAATGATGCTTCTGGGAGAAAAAAAACTTCTAAGCCACTATCTGTCAGCTATTGCATATGTAAACTTGGTCACAGGCACCCAGAAGTGAGTCCTGAAAGGCCCTTGCCAATAGGAACTGTTGGAGAAGACATTTGACAGAAGACCCTCAGGAACTCAGGAGGTTTTGGACTGGCGGATGTCCATAGGGACATCTGCTGGATGCAGGCACATGTAAAGTGAGGGTGTTGGTTGTGGTTTGAGGACTGAAATTCCACTGAAGGATACTATTGAGAAGATCCAGTCAGCTCATTTCCTGGCCGGCTTAGTAAAATGCTAATCACTGGCCTAAACCATTTTGTGCACTGCATTAAAAATACTGAAACTAGAAATCAATTTTGTGAGAAGAAATTCCCCCAAATGATCACTAAAAGTGATGATTTTTATTTTTCTAAGTATTTCTAATCACCAAAAAGAAAACCACAAAAGCCAAGTTTCATTGCTTGGGTGGTTAACACTGGGGGGGCAATACATGCAGGAACCAGATGCTGTTACCCTGGAAATGGCACTGCAAAAGGGCCTCTCCCCTAGACTGTTATTTGCGTGTGTGTATGCTTCTATTTTTGTGTTCTGGAATTAATTTCAGTTATTGAAAGCATTGCCAAATGTAAAAAACAATTGTTTCTATTTATGTTTTCACTGACTTTTTGCTGGCATCTCTTTCCTCTTAACAGCAGTTCCGTTCCCCACCTAGATTTCAGACTGAACTTGTAGGAGATGTAGGGGAAAGTTTGCTTGAGTATTAGGGCATTTAAATGAAAAACATCTTTTGCTAAAAATCTCAGCCCTTTAGAAATACATTTGTAAGATAAATGGATATATCATTGAAGGCAAGTTATTAATGCCAACTGAAAATGCTTAATTTTTGCAGCATTTTCCAGATTTGGGTGTGCTGAGGTGGGTTTTCCCTTTGCGATGTGGAACAGTTGCTTGGAGCGAAGCCAGTGTCTGAAAGCATCACTTTTATTTCCTTGATGCAAATCAGCTCGTCTGTTCCTTAAAATAGTGCTTAATTAATTATGAATTTGTAAAAGTCTTTCCCATGGAAGTATGATGTGAATTTCTATAAACCACTATTGCCACTGAACACGAGAAGTGCTTATAATGTGTGTTTACCTTTGCAGCTGTGTTCTACGGGCTGGACACGCTGACTGTGGTGGGCATTGCCTTTGCGGCATTTGTAATCGGCGCCCTGCTAACAGGAGCACTCTGGTTCATCTACTCTCACACAGGTAAGGGTGAGGGCTTCCACAGACCTCAATGCAGATCATACTGCAGGAAATGTGGTCTTCCCTTTCCTCCCACCTTGCAGAGGCTATTCTGGGCTTTGTTCCTTGCTCTCTGCTCTTACTAGGGTGTTTCCAGCACCTCCTCCCATGAGCCTGTTGGTGCGTATTGGCAGATTGAAACCCGCCCTTCCCTAAAGGGATGGAATCATGTTATGTTTTATGAACATGATTTGAAATTTGATGAAATAATTTTAAATGCAGATCTTGAAAACTCACTTGGGACATGAATGAAACTGAGTATTCCTCATGCATAATCATTAGTAGCATCCCTGTATTTCAGATTTAGTTAATGATTCAGTCAATGGATCCCTTTTGGCTCCCATACTCTTCCTTAAAAAATTTCTTGCAGTTACTAGATCAGGCTGATGTGACTGAGAATGTGATGTGATCAGTATGTGTAGTGGGCCAAATGGCCGAGAGAATGCTTCATTTACATAGATGTATTCTGAATGTTACTAGACTTGAAAATGTTTCCTGTGCTTTGATTACATAGAAATTTTGCCTCAATTATTTATTCCTCCATTCTTCAACTGTGACATTAAATTGATAGAAGTTGAGTGTCTTCTCAATTAGTTTTGTCCAACCAACTAACCAGGAATGTGCCTGAATTGGTGCAGCCTTTATGCATAGGTGGTTTTTCAGTATCTTAGAAATTTTTTTTGCACAATAAGTTAGCAGAAACACAGTACTGTATTGAAAGAAGAGAGAGTTTTGGGAACTTTTTTGCATGTAATCTGCAGGGTGGTACAGAAAAAGACTGGACACTGATGGGGCTTTGATTAGCAACATCTTATCTTCGGTGCTGGTGGATTATGGGTATTTCAGGATCCATACAGCCTGCTGGATTCCCAACTGCTTCCACTTCTGACCTGACAAGACCCTTCCAAGATCTCTGGATGTGGGGAAAATGAAGTCAGTTACTTCAAACCTATGAGGCTCTGGGGCACTGGAATTCTTCTCTAGCCCACCACAGGGTTTTTCAACATCTAAAACCTCATGGAGGCTATTTAGGAGTGAGCATCCAGCACTGTTGGTCAGAGCTTTTGTAAATATTATGACCCAGGAGCTTATGTTAATTTGGAAAAAAAAACCAAAACCTGTGTGTTTTTTTTTCTAGTTGGCAGTACAAGAGCTTTGTGTAAGCAGTTTAATACTTCTCAATGCATCAGCTGTGCACAAAGCTTGTTTGGAATTGGGACGTGGAAAATTTAAAGGTTGTGATAATATGTATAAACAGTATCATTCTGCCTCATATACTATTGAAACATTGTGGAAGCAAAGTAAGTGCAATTTCAATGAGTGAATGTGTAAGTTAAGAAGATAATTTCCAAATAGGTAGATTTTATTAACATAAAATTAAGCATTGTTAAAGTAATATAATTTATATTGGAAGTTATATGTGGAAGTTCTGTCTCTGTTCACATATAGAACAGAGACACATGTAGACACATGTTGTGTGTCAGTAGTCAAGGAACACTGAGGAGCCAACATGATAAATCCTTCAGGAGCAATAGCACTTGGACCAATCCCATTAAAAGAATTACATTAACAAAGTACATCATAGTGGCTGCATGCAAGTAGTAGAGCAGGCAGCTGCTCTTGCTTTGTGTTTGAGAGATGGAAATAAGTTGAGAAAAAAGCCAGACAAAAGTAGTGAGAAGAAAAGAAAGAAAGGGGACATTGTAACTCCTCAGAGATTTGCAGAAATGATAAAGAATACCTAGGAATATCTGGTTCAGATTTTGAAAGGACTGTGAAGGTGAACCTGTGTTCCTGTGCGCATACTTCTTCTGTGCATAGTATCTTCTGTCTCCAAAGCACAACTTGCAGCAGAGCGCAGTGAGGGCTCTTGGCAGGGACAGTCTCTTAAAGGCCAACTGCTGTGGCAGACAAGATAATCCAGCTGCAGTGGAAACATTCTGGAGCTGGCTGCAGGCCTTTATTAAAATAAAGGTGGGGGGGAGGAGGGAGATATTCTAAATTTCATCTACAGAGTGGCTGTCTTCTGCCATTAGAGAATTCATGCATTGCTGAATTGTGCTCTGAAATCCCATATTTTGTTGTAAGTAGCACGGGGGTTTCTTTTCTGACATACTTCAGACCAAAGGTTGGAACATAGGAGCTCATTCTAAAGCATTTAGCTGATGCTCAAGAGCATGGACAAAGGCTACTGCTGGTGGAGAATGGCAACTGGGAATTTCTGAAGAAAGGTATTTTTTGTTGCTATAGTCCTGTATGAAATACAGCAAAAGGCTTTTCTGACTGTGTCTCTACTGTCAGACTCATTCTAGCATAGAGAATATGCTTTACATAAGGGACCTAGTTTGTTCATCTTGATAGGCCATTAACATTTAAATCTCAAACAATTGGCAGCAGAAGAGAACTATAAAATAAGTCGAATTTCATCTCCAGATATTAAAGGAGGATTGTTGTGTTGAGGGTTTGTTTGTGGTTTTCTTACGTGTGGGGTTTGGTGATTTCAGTCATTTCTGAATTGCAGAAATGGCAGATTTCTGCCAAAGCATCAGAATTGTGCTTTAGAATACTCCAGACTCTCTGAAAAAATTAATAATGGAGTACAAATGTCCTAAGATACACAGGTAGTAGAGGAAGGGAGAGGGGAGGCTAGGATTACAGCAACAGAGGAGGAATTTTAGCTAACTGCTCTGCAAAAGGACTCCGTACTTTTCTTTCTCCAGTCAGGGAAAGGACATGGAACGTGACTGAAAGCTTTCCACAGTTGCATGGGTTCTGCTGGAGAGGAGCAAAGGGAAGGTAGCAGAGATTTGCCACAATTAACCCAATTTACCTGGCTGTCTTTAGGAAGAAGCACAAATGTTGCAGTGTGCATGGATACAGACTTTCAAAATGTAACCAGATAAATATCTGTCAAGGTAGTATCTGTCTTAGGGATAATTGACTGTGTTTAGGAAGGGACATGTGCAAGTCTGATGAGTTAGTGAGACTGCTAACCCATGTAAACTGTGTTACAGAGAATATCAGTCACTTCATTCACTTAGAAAGTGTGTTTTTCCTTCTCCAGGCAGTGTTGCAAGTATAGAGGGTAAAATGTTCCAAAATCTGGAAAGTTAAAAGTGTCCCTCCTCCCCCACTGCTCCCTTTTTTATGGATCTGATTTAAAATAAACTAACATAGCAACCAATTATATTTGGCAAATGGAGATAGAAAAGCAAACATTCAGACTTCCTGGACAGGGAGTACAACTGGCAGCTTTCCTAAGTGTGAATAATAAAGTGCATGTTGTCGCATTCAGATGGGTAAAAGCTTGTTTACCGTCAATAAATGAGACATGTCCATTTTGAGCAGTTCTGGTTCAGGAAGATGAGATACATGAAGCTGTTTACATGAAAAAGGCAAATGGAAAATGCCTTTGTGGTGATAGTTTACATCTCTTTACATACTTTTATGAATATTCTTTAAAAAGTCTTCACTGCAGATTAGCTAGGTGTTGAGGAAATAAAATGCAGGCAAAGTCAGCCAGTCCAGATGTGGTTGCTAGACTGTGTTCATAACGTCCCTGTGATTTGGATTGTTTTTTGCTTGAGGACATTGAGAATTTGTTATTGTTTGACAAATGTTTGGTGTATCAGAGTTGCTGATTGCATTCTAGAGATGAGGTGCTTCAGAGGCAATTGAATTACAGCATAGGGAAGGGGGCTCGTATCCCAAACCAAAGGAAAGGTGCCTCCTAAGATGCTTTCCAGAGGAGCTGGGAGGAGTAAAGCGAGCTGTTGGGCTCGCACAGGGACCCCAGCACTGCGTTTGTCACTCTGCCATGAAACAAAACCAACATGTGTTTAGCTTATAAGTGAATTTATGGCTAAATGCATGCAGATTGTATTGCCATGCCGAGGCTGACGCAGAGCTGTGTGTAACCATGTGGTTTGTAAAATGGGTGACAGCAGAGCTGCAGGGAGGGCTGAGAGGGGCCCTGCCGGGGGGAGCTGTGGCTCCTCTGCACGCCCATCGAGGCTTCTCCTGCTGCCGGGGTAGGATTCACTGCCTCACTGCTTTCTCATGTTTGTGTTCGCTTGTTTTGCTTTAATGAAGGGGAGTTTGCTTATCACTGCCTTTGTAAATATATCCCGTAGTACAAAAAGAAGGAAGACTTGTACACAAACAGCTGGAGGAGAAGGGAGTGAGTTGCGGGGAAGACATCCAAACAAGGCTCATGAAAGCTTTTACAGTATAATAACGCAGGCACTGATTTGCTACAGTTTCCTGTGATGGGTTGCAAAGCTATTTCCAATGCAAATTAGAGCTGAAACTCAGTTTATTTACTGACAACTGAGGGTAGATTCTGACCTGCAGCAGAAATCTGCTGCTTGTGAATGAGCTACATAGATATTTCTTAGACTGGGGAAAAGAGAATCAAAACATGCTCACAAGGGTAAATGCCGGTTTGAGTGCTTGAATTCAAGAGTGAGATCCTCGCCCTCTTTTTGAGCATTTCATTGGTCTCCTGGGCAATGTGGTTTAGTTGTTTAGTCCTGTCCCGTCCCCCTTTTCCTCCCCATTCCTAAGCCAGTGGGGTGTAAGGCAAGAGCTGTGCATGGTGGGGCCTTCGGTGCACTTACAGCTGTGGCGCAAGCTAACAGTGAAGCTGCTGGTTCCCATTACAAAGTTCAGATGCAGCCTCTGCTGTGAGGAGTGCTCAGAGCTCCCTTGTTTGTAGCAGACCTCTGAATGCTGAGCAGCCTGCAGAAGGACATCTTCTGGCCCGAGACACAAAGTGTTAAAGGCACACTTCCTCCACAGCCGCGTTCCGGAGGAGCATGGGGCTCTGGCAGCTGGGCAGCAGCACACAGGGCATGGGGATGTGCCAGAGCAGCTCCTGGGGGAGGAAGCTGGCTCGTCCCTGCTCTGTAACCCTCTCGATGCAGGCTGTGCTTCCAGTCTTCGACCTGTCGCTGAAGCAGACACCGGGTAATGAGAGCTTTACCAAATCCTGAGCAGGGAAGAAAAATTGAACTCTGCAGAACTAGCGCATGGCATCAGGGCAATGTAGAGCAGAACTGTGTCACTATAAACTCATGAGGCAGGAGATACAACAGCCGTTGATTTTTATTTCTTTTTTCCCAGTTATCCCTGCCCATGATGTGGCAAAATGTTTCCGTCTTGCTCCTTTGCTGGCGCTGGCTGCCATGGTTGGTCTGCAGCTCAAGCAGCAGCAGTCTGTTACTGCTGCTGGGATCACAGCTTCGTAGCCTGAGAGAGAGGAGTTCAAGGGAGGGGCCAGCTACAGTGCATGTCATACAAACTTAGTCTTGCCATCTGTTTTGAAGAGACTATTTTAATATTGCTAAGGTTGCAGATTTGAGCACTGTAACTTTAAAAATGTCAGTTGTGGTTTCCTACATGGCCTCTTTATGATCTGTTAGGTATTCACATAATTTTTACTTCCACCTTAGTTGAGACATGGATTTTTTTCATAGCATCTGAGCCACAGGTGCCAGAGAGGTGTGAGGTGAGCAGACAGAAATCTAGGTTTTATCAGAAGCCATAAATATGGCTTTAACTCCTAGTGCTTGATTTGGCAGTGCAAGTAACAAAGAGCTTTGAATTTACCATCAGTAAACAATTAACAAGAAATGGTGAGACTTCTCACTTCAGGTTGTAAGTGCTGCGTGTACTGTGGTAGCTATAGGGGAACTTCTTGCAAATTATACTTGGAGTAAATCAAGTCAAGCTTGCAGGGTAGTTTGTTGGTTTTGTACGCAAAGAAAACTGGCCATGTCTCTGGGTATGTGGCTGTCCAGCTGATTGAAGAACATTGCCTTCAGGTCCACTTTTACTGAGTATGCTGCTCTATAAGCTGACGCTAAAACTAAAGCCTATATTTCATTGGCCTTTTTTCATGAAACAGCAAAACTATAAAGAGGTCAGAGTCATGTAACGGGACCCATTTGAGTGACAGCTGACAACAGAAGATAGTGTCTATCTTGGCAGTTTTCATCAGCTGCTTTTAAAATGCTTAAGAAAACAGCTGTGTTGTTCTCCCCATGTGCAATGCTCAGGTGTCAAAGTCTAGTAAGATTTTCAGCAGTACTCTGAGGACTGTCACCAAGATACTCATTACATGGCAATACAAACCGCCAGAAGGGAAAGACTGGGGAGGAATGGAGTATTGGTTTTCATGACAACTAACATTTTCTATTTCCCTTCTCCCAACCCCACTTTTTGCCCCCCCTTTCCCTCAGGAGAAACCACAGGAAGGCAGCAGGTGCCTACATCCCCACCAGCCTCTGAGAACAGCAGTGCAGCACACAGCATCGGCAGCACGCAGAGCACCCCCTGCTCCAGCAGCAGTGCCACCTAACGCCGCGGAGGCACGTAGGAGGGCATAGGTTCAAAAGACTGTGTGTGGACATCAGCTTTTTAAATTTAAAAGGATTGCTTTGGGGAAAGAAAAGGAAAAAAGAGGAGGGATTTTTCTACAAAAAAAAAAGGAAAAAGACTTATTTTCTTTTGGGGAAGCCACTGTGTGTGTGAGTGTGTGTCTATACATGCACACAATGCATGGGTAAACACAGCCTGTTGGATCTTCTATAGGATGTTGTGCAACACGTGACAAAGCTACTAATTTTGCAGTACTGCAACCTGTTCTAGGGGTCTGTGGGCCCTCAATGTGAAATCTGTGCCAGTTTGGGAAAATGCTGCTTTGTCTGTATTTTTCTTTCCCTAAGCCTTCTCATTGACATGAGGTATTAATTATAGGAGTTCAATCATAGACTCATAGAATGGTTTGGGTTGAAAGGGACCTTATATATCATCTAGTTCCAACCCCCTGCCACGGGCAGGGAAACCTTCCACTAGGCCAGGTTGCTCCAAGCCCTGTCCAGCCTGGCCTTGAACACTGCCAGGGATGGGGCAGCCACAGCTTCTCCGGGCACCCTGCCCCATGGCCTCACCATTCTCACAGTACTTATTCCTACTATCTTATCTAAATCTACCCTCTTTCAGCTTAAAGTTGTTACCCCTTGTCCTATCACTACACAACATAAGCAAAAGAAAGATAATCTTAGGTCAAAAGATTTTTATTTGTCTTAAGCAAGAAAGCCTCAAGGTCAGGTCTCTTTGGTTAATAACATTCTATTACTTCAGCTATGTTTAGCTACTTTTGAGTGATCTTTGTTTTGTTCAGCTTACAGCTACAGCATCTCATTTGCTTTCCTGTCATGTTTGAAGCTTCAAGTTTGTTCCAGGTATTTTTGGTTTACTATGTTTTGATTTGCTAATTGGAGAGGAGCACACTCTAACATTCCCTTTCTTGTTCTTTGGGCCAAAGCTCTTTAAATAACAGAGGTTTTTAATATCCTATACCAAATCAAGGCACACACAAACATTAAGACAAATAATGGTCTTGTGCACTAACATAGATGTGTGTACCTTTAATGGCAATGTCTTTATGCAAATAGATGTATACCTATGTATACAGAGCCTAACTTACCACTTTAACAATTGGGAAATTAGGTTAGTGTTCCTTCCTTACATAAAATATATAATGCATATATATATATAGATAGATAGATAGATAGATATATTTAAAAACAGCTCTCCAGTTTATGGTAGGTAGATAGAGGAGAAAGAACAGGTGATTTGGTTCTGATCCTCTAGCTAGCCCAAATTCCCCTTGAAATAAGGGATGGTTTTGAGGGCACAAAGAATGTGCAGTACAGCCTGTCTGTGCAGAACACTGCATATCAAAATGAAGCTATTAAGATAGTTTTGTAGTTTTGTGTCAAACTGGTGTATGAACATTGCGATTGGATAGTCCCAAAGTAGTGTTGGAATATGGAAATGGCAGAAAGGTACTAATTGTCACAGTATTTTTTTAGTGTCATTGCCATATCTTGACCTCCAAATCAATGCCAAATGAAAAAAGACACTTTTAATGTGTAATTGTCTGACTGTTATGTTGCCACTTTGTAATGTGTTCTACTGATCCTTCTCCTTCTGAAGAAAAGCATAGTTTTCCTCTAAAAATGAGATCAGTAACTTTCATTAATTGTAGCGAAGGTTACCTGTGTTCTGCAAGAGGAGAAGGGAATTCATTACACTAGGGTGATAATCTGCTCTGAAATCTGAGCTGCAGATTTCTTTTGCTGATTCTACACTTGTGCCTTGCTGATGCTAGGATGGTCAAAGTGCAAGATATGCAATAGATGTAAGTGCCCAGGATCAGGTGGAATATTACTCATTTTAAATCAAATCTGTTACTAATCCTGCAAGCATTTATGCATGTGAGTAACTACACACCTTGTCCTTGCTAGTACAAGCACATGCCCAACTCTACATGTTACGGCTATTCTTGGAGTCCTTGCAGATGGTCAGTGTATAGAGTTGCTTATACCAAAAGTGGTTTATGTTACCAAGCCAATGAGCTGTGCTGGTACCATCAGGAGGATGTCATGAAAATGTAGTTATTCCCATGCTTAAGGGGATGCAAGATTGGCTCTGTTACGAGATGTTGGGAGGACGAGTATGCCTCCTTTGTGGTTGAAAAGGAAGCGCTTTGCCTAACCTTCAGCAGAATGTATTGTATAAGCATATTCTATGTGTAAAGTCTTTAAAGATGTCTTCAAAGAAGACTAGAGTCTTTAAATTCAATCATAGCTATATTTTACTACATTAAATTTCTGTATAAAGATATATTTAAATGTTTTAGATAAATGTAAGTTACTCTATATGAAATGTTTAATTTCAATTACTGTGAAATTTATATATCTTGTAAATTCTTTTCCCTGTTTTAAGCCTTTCCTTCCTCAGATATTTTATTAAGTAGTTTCTCATAGGAAGTATTGGATTTGGTTGTTGGGATGGACAGGTTGAAAACTTTTATGTAAAATAGATAATTGTATATTTTTGAGAGAAACTTGCTGCATTATCGGTGTTTTTTATTAAAAAAAAAACCTCTAATTTTAAAATAATTTACAGATTTATATTTACCTTTGGATAAACCAAAAATATAGAAAGATGAAAGATTCAATTTTTTGCCTTGTGTTCGAAATACAATTTAAATGAACTGAACATGGTGTACTCAGCTATTTAATTCAGACATTTTAATCAATCTGAGCTAATTACCTGTTGGTGGTTACCAGAACTACGTTGGCAGATGGAGCACCCATTTCTGCTTCAATAAAGGCGGAGAGAGATAACCAGACCTGGGCATTCCCAGATAATAGCTTTGTAATGAAAGTGGATAGTACTTCCCTGCAGCTGGTAGCTGCCTTCAGTTCAGAGTACTGATCCACCTATAAGCTCTACTTTTATCACAGCCATTTGTCTCTACAGCAGGTTTCTGTGTGTGGTGAATGTGTAACTGCAAAGCCACTGGCTCCTGCCTCTGTCAGACCTGGTCTCGCCATGCTGGAAGGGCAGCAAGGCATTCCTGTCCCAGCAGAGGCTTTAAAGCAGGGCTTCAGGAGGACGGGCACAGGGGTAAACTGTAGCATGATGGAATCAACTGCAAAGGAACTTCTTATGTAAGAATGGGAGGATTAGGCTTAAAAGGGACACCTTTTGTCTGTAAAAGCTATTGGTAGCATACTTAAACTCCAGGGTAGACTGCTTGTTGTGTCATGCATTGTCTAATCACTAGGTCTAACTTTTTACAGCATTTGGTTTTGGACATTACTATATTCATGTTTTGAGAAGTCACATCTTTCTGTGTTAGGCTATTTTTGTAGCATTTTACACATGGAAATGGATTTTGCGAAATGTTTGTAGATGCTGATGATTGTAACCTTCCCCCTGCCCTTTTGTAATCATTTTTTCTCCTGTATGTACTGTTCCTTGTGTTACGTATATCTACCTCATGCTTCACAAGAAGACTGTACTGTTGGTTTGCTGACAGCCCTTCGTGTGAGGTGACTGTTCTGCCCTATTGTTGTTCGTCATTTGTAGGGATGTTCATAGTGTTATGAGATCCTTGCTGCCATGTTCCTACCATTTCTTAACACAATATTCTCATGTTTGAATTAAATAAGTACATTTCTTTAGGATCTACATGCCAGATGTTTTTTAAATAAAAGAATGGGAGAAATTTACTTGCTAATACCTGTGGCCAGTCTGAACACCCCATTTGTATTTCATATTACATTCAGTATTTCAGAGACTTGTGGAAATGCGTAGTTGTACAGTTTTGATAACCACAGTGTCATGTCATCTTAGTCTCTTGTGCATAATAAAGTATATATCAATTTATTAATAATTGGTGCTGTGATTCATTTATTTGAAGTTGTGCAGGGGCAACAGCAGTAGATCAAGTTCTGTCTCACTGCTGTGTCCTCATGCCCCATAAACTTCAGTGGGACTTGTGTATGTTAAGGCGGTATATGATTTTGGGTGGCAACATTCGTTTTCCTTCTGTGTTCTTTTATCCACAGGCTTCTCCGTATCATGGCTTCTTGCAGAAACCAGTAGATCTATTTAGGTAAATGCTGCTGTTCTTCACTCTAATTTGAAGTTCAAAGCTCTGATTCTGCAGGCATTTAGTTATTGCATGTCAAGGCACAGCCTCAGTCCCGTCCTGCACAAAGCCTGTCTTGAGCGCAGTCAAGCCAAGGAGTCTGCTGATAGTCCTGTGTCTGAAGAGCTCCCTTGGGCTGTTGTACCCCTGACTGCAAGTACACTGGAGCCACGTGAGCAAGGCTGAGGTGTTTTCATTACTTACTGAAGGGTCTTCCTGTGCTAGAGCAGATAGTTTGGCCATGTGTCAGCAGGGCAAGGATTTGAGTGTTTACTGTCCTGCTTATTGCTTTGTTTCCTGTATTTCGTGTGCAAAATATTCTTTATGAGCACACTGGGGGAACCAGTCTCAGCGGTATTTCACTGGGTTATTCAAAGGTTGTGGTTATTAACTCAGGAAAGAAAGTTCCCCAAGAAAGGGTTCTGAAATGTTTAACGATTACTTGTAAATATCAAGATTCCTTCAGTACAGAAAGGGCCAGTAATTAGAAGCAGTTGTAAGCTTACGCGTTGCCTGTGACTTACATCTTGCAGAGGTGCAGAGATTTATTGCTTCATAACAACCATATTTCAGTTTCTGTGTAAAGACTTTTTTTTCCCCTTTGGAAATTAACTCCATAGAGCTGACTCTCAGCCTGAAGATACTGGAGCTGTTCCTCACCTTTAAGATTTGAATTCCAACTGAAACATGACGTGAAAGCATGATCAGTGTTTCAAATGAGGAATCAATTTTAAAATGCAATTTTTAGCCATCAAATTGTGATACATTTGCATGATTATTTTTTGACATTAAGAAGCAAGAGTCTCCCCATATTACAGAGGAGGTGTCAGTGTTGGGCGTGTTTGTTCCCATCAAGCATTTGTGATTGAAGCAAACATTTCGGAGAGTCAAAAAATACCAAGTGCCAGTTTTGGCAAAAACACAGTCCAGAGCTCTTTAAATTCAAACAATCAGATTTATCGCAGTGTTCCGTCCAAAATAATACAAAAGGGGAAGGAGCCAATATTTTGATACATTTTCAGAGCTGTCACTTTGTAATTGTAAAGCAGATATTTATGAGGCTGGAAGTCTGTTTGATTTTTGTATTGTATTCCCAGATCCCCGGGCCCTCGCCCTGGCCTTGCGAACCTGTGTGCATTCACTCTGTTTGAATTCTTTGCTTAAAAAAAAAGATCAAATTACATCACTTCACCTTCCCAAAGAAGGATACGGCTCAAGTTACGTTTTTATAGTCTCTCCTTGCTAGAAGCCTTTAGGGACTCAAAGCAGCAGGTCCAGAAGATGATGTGCACTGGGGTGGCTCCGGGCCTGCTATGCAGCCAGCCTGGCATTTAGTGCTGCACTCTTCCTGTGTTCAGGATAAAGAGGTTTATGGACAGTCGAGGAAGAAAAGCAGCACGAAATTGTTTCTCTTGCACTTTCTTAAAATGACAAGGTTTTTTCCATCCAATTATTTTGGTGCTTATTGCTGGAGAATTGGTTAAAAGATATTTGGGTGGAGTCTCTTTTTCACTCTGACGTTACTTACTGCTGCTTGTAAACTGCCAGCTCTGGTAAGGAACAGAGTGTACTGACAAAAAACTGAGTTAGTACTGTAAAAATCAGGCTATTGAGTGTTAAGCACTGATGGTATTTAAATATGCTTTAAGTGGTTCAGCAAACTCCCTTTCTGTTTGGTCAGCCGTGTCCATTTTTTATGATATGCCTGCTAAAATTAAAGTGCAGTCCCCTGCACTTTGGTGTTCCCAGTTCTCTATAAGCATTTCACTTCCAGCTTTGCTTTGTAAATAGGGTGAAAGGCTCAAAAGAGTTCTCAGTCTGTCCTTCAGTACAAGCAGGCATATCCCATGGGGTCGTAAGCGCTTGGGATGTAGGGAAAGTCTTCGCTCTGTGCTGTGTTTTTATTAGCCTGTGATCCTAAAAGTGATTAGTAACGTTAGCTGTTAAGAATTGAAAATAAAATAAACAGGAAGGTTTAAGAGGCTCATACACGCAGGGCACTTTCAGCAGGAATATTTAGGTTTTCACAGAACATTTGAGTGCCAAAACATGTCACAGAAAACTTAAATCATTGAAATAAAGTAACATGAAGGAAGCAGTTAGGAAGTGTCTGGAAATGGGAGGCTGAAGACTCACACCACACTCTAATCCTGAATGGAGATGGAGCTGGCTGGCTCCCAGGGCCACCACACACCACTGCAGCCATGACCTGGGTGTTCAGGTGGGATGTTACCCATCACCAGGAACTCACAGAGCGTGAGGCATCGGCACCTGAAGCAGGATTATTATGGACAAGACTTGGCAATACTAACTTCGGGGTATCTCTTGTGATAAACCCTTTAATAACAGGCTTTTTCAGACAAATAAGGTTTTAGTGTAAGCTCTCTCTGTCTTTTGCTTCAGGAAGAATGGCTGTGAAATACAGAAAGCTCTAATTAGAAGTCACAGAACCAAATGACAAGCCACAGTGCTGGCACTTGGGATGTGCTCAGGTGGCGTGTGTCCATGGTGTCAGGAGAACACGTAACTGCTTCTGGGGAGCTCCTCTGCTGCTGGAAGCCATGCTCAAACTGAAACTAGATTGAATCCTAGTTCTAGCTAACAGTCTCTGTCGTGAATGAGAGCAGACTCCTGCCTCACGCTGGAGGGGAGGGGCAAGCGAGCCTAAGATGGCAGCTGGACCTAGGGGGTTCTGTGGTAGAGCTCAGACAAAGCAAGAGGGGAGGCAGCTCCAGCACAAGGGGCCAAAGCTGAGGGTGTCCCTCTCAGATGGGCTTGAGATGGCAGCCAGCCCAAGGGGGTTCTGTGGTGGAGCTCAGACAAAGTAAGGGGGAAGGCAGCTCCAGCACAGGGGGAACAGTTGAGGGGTGTCCCCCTCAGGTGGGCTCAAGATGGCGACCGACCCAAAGGGGTTCTGTGGTGGAGCTCAGACGAAGCGAGGGGGGAGGCAGCTTCCAGCACAGAGGTGCTGGGGCACAGTCGAGGGGTGCATGGCAGTGATCACAAAAGGCTCCTCAGGGTTTTGATGGAGGTTTGAGGGAAGGTGCCTCACTTTTTAGCTCCATAGTTACACTGCCATCTAACTGAACCACCATATGGGGAGTGATGAGAGCCCCTGTGCCCTCCGGAGGCTCTGTACAGCACCCCTGCATGGTCTGCGGCTCTGGTCACAGACCTGCCTTCACTCTTTTGCTTTAAGTGGAAAGAGACCCAAAGGTGGGGTTTGGATCCCAGTCCTCTGACTACATGTTTCAAACCCTCTCCGAGAGCCATAAAGCATGGCTCTCTTGTCAGCAGCTCCAGTGCACAGGGCCGCATGAATAAAGCAGACTACTGCAAGTGCAAGATGGTGAAAGGTGCTGAAGATGTGGAAGATGGTCGGCAGAGACAGAGAAGACTGAGCATGGGATGACAAATATCAACGTTAGGAAGAAGGTAAGGCTGTGTTTTTATTTCACATAGACTAAGTTGGCTCTGCCCTCAGTGGGGAGGCAATGTTGGTAATTAAGGGTGGAAAAAGGAAGGAATCCATGATGAGGTTATTGTCAAGTTGTCTGACAGAGAAAGTTGGATCAATGCTGCAATTACGAGTATTGTAGCACAAGAAGCAGAATGCACTGGTTCTGTCTGGGGAGGGTTGAGGGACGATTACACTGGAAAGCGTGTACCCTGCTGACATGCTTTGTACCATTACAAAGCCAGAGTAAGAACGCCCGTGTTTTTACTGGCAGTGCTTAGTTAATTATTCTGTGACTTCCCTCAAATGTGTGTCCCTGAAGTGAGTCATGGTTTATTAGATGTCAGACAACAAGGGTCTGTCATAAACCAAGAGGCTTTTGCCAGGCTGGCTGCCTGGCCTTTCTCCTGTAGCCATAGGCCATGGAATGCACAGGATGATCTGCTCTGTGGACAAGGAGTGATTTCTCTGCTTGCATTGTGCTTGTCACCGGCATTATGAAATAGCCTACTGAGGAAACCATAATTGTACTGGGAACTTCAGAAATCTAACTCTGGCAAGGCATTGTGTACACTTGATTTTGTTTTGGGGTTTAATGGTAAAAGTAGAGTTATGCTAAGCTAATTCTCGAAGATTTCTCCATTGCTTGCTTTTGTAAACTTTCATTTGTGGCATTGCTTTTTCATTCAGAGGTAAAATACAAAAAGCTTAAATAAAAATGTATGTCATAAGCTAAGTATACAAGAGGCTGAAAGTCAGATTTCATGCTTCTAGAGCACATACTTGTTAGTCAATATCTGGTTAAACAGCTGTGAACCAAGAACAAATTTGACATTCTCTCTCTTAGAAGCTGTAAGAAATCTTAATTACTGTGTTTATTTGAGTAATGACAAATAGTGTGGTTAAAGGGACCCCAGCTGTTATTTTTGTATTTGTATTGTATTGCTGTGATTGAGCAAAGACAAAACCGTGATACCAAAAAGCTTGGTTGTCGTGCATTTACGTTTTTAAACCCACGTGTATATACAAACACAAATCATTCCATCTAGTAGTGGAAGAACTCAAGAAGGGAAAGTGCCAATGTATATGCCAGAGGACAAATGCACATGGACACATGAGTAGTGCAGAAAGCATCTCGAGTATGCAAGCCAGCGCTGCAAGCAAGCGTTGTACATCTGGAAATATGGCTTAGTTGTGCTCTTTCAAAATCTTAGAGGTCTGGATTCCCTTTGCTTAGTTGAGACAGTTAGGGAATCATCAGCCTGTGCTTCCTGCGTGGTTGCTA